CAATCATCCAAATAACAACACTCATCAGTATAAAATTTAAAAATTGTAAAATTAAACATTTAAGTGATTTGTGTGCGTATAGTGACTTTATATTAGATTAAGTGACTTAAGTGACTTGACTTAGCGCGCCAAAGTTGTGAGTGCGCGCGCAACCCGCCTCATCATTGCGTCGCTTCAAGGATTCGCGCGGCCTCCGGGTGCGCTGCATTTGCCAATGCATCCTGATAACGGATTATTATTTCAAGCACCAGGTAAGTAAAAAGAAATCACCAACATTTTTTTATACTTAAGTATATAAAAGTTAACATTGACATTCAGTTGTTAGCTATTTAGTAGTTTCGCACACGTAAAATGTTTTTACATTTTAAATGTTCGCGTAACATTTTTGGGGGTCATTGTCAATTCTTGTATTGCGACATTGAAGCTTGGCCGCCAGTGTGTGTTGTGTGTGGGACCAACATGTGAGCCACTGAGCAAACGAGGCGTGCGCACTCGAAACTATCTAACTACTAACCTACTAACGCTACTAGAAAACTGCTACAACAGTTGGTAGTCAGTTAACTGGCTTAAATCACGGCGAGAAAAGATTGAATGTCAAAAAAGCGTTTAATTTGATAGTTTTTTTTTAATAACTCGCAAACCAATCAAGTTATCATAATAATTTCTTCAAATATTTATTACCTATTAAATTCTTTATTTAATTTTAATAAGATGTTAATGATTAGAATGGTGTAGCAAAAGATATTTAGTATTTTGTTTAAATTTTTTGATTTTTGCAAAAGTTGATTTTAATTGTTTATATTTTCTTGAGTATAAATGGGAATTGTTTATATTAAATGCTATTTGATGTAGAATTAAATACCGAATCAATTTCTGAAACAATTTTGAGATTAGTGACAATAGTTTCTAAATAATTCAGAAATAACTAAACTATTGAACTGTAATCACGCAAATCTTACGTGGCGCAATTATAGTGGTTCCATTGTTATAGTTATTAATTAATTACTCAAAAACAAATAAAGCTACATTTAAGATTTGTTCAGAAATTTATACACTATTAAATTCTACATCGATGTGCACTATTATTTGATTAATAAATTAAATTTATCAAAAGTTATAAATGAATTTGTAAATAACTATTTTTTCCAACAAAATCAAAGTTTATTAACTTTTTATTTAACAATCTCATATTCATCATTTTTAATCAGAAAACGTAGAATTTCATGTAAAGGAAATATCTGAAACCATTACAACAATATCTCAAATAGTTTACGAGTAATTAATTAATAATTTAAATTATTACTGTCTAATTATCGGGCTTCATAAGGATATTCCAACTAAAACAACAAAGTAAGCTAATTTTTAGTGTTCATGACCCCTAAGCTAATTTTTCGTTAAGTGTACTTAAAATATCAGACATGTAATTTGAGCTTTGCATTTATCGCATTTCTGAATTACATTTATTAATTAAAAGCATACACATTAATATTTATAAGTGATATAGTTGTCAGGCAATGCGTGGCGTATGTATTAAATAATATTCTAATTAATCACTCCATTCAACATGTCGATATATGAATAATAAATCCATTTCGCACGTTGGGCGTTTGCAGATCTTGGCCCAGTTAAAGCACTTTATTATTATCGCAATTTACAAGTCAACGAAGAAAAAGAATTCAAAATAAAAGGTTACCAGTAATAGTTTTGTAATGTTATCTTTGTTTGTTTGTTAGTTATTTATTTATCATTGGAAACACGTGGCAAATAAATAGATTTTCGAGTAATCGTTCGTAATCGATCTGGGAATTTATTGATTTCCACACGTCCACACGTACTTTAGTGAGGCGCGACGCTGGGTGAATCAAGGAGGTTCATAAGTACATAATAACCACGTAATGCATTGTTTAAACAAAGCGAACAAAAGCCGAAATATCTGCTCTTTGCCCCACTAACCCCGATCCACATATTATCCAAGTTTAAAACACAAAAAACACTAAAAACACACTGCGGCCATATTTAAACCGAAAACAAGATGGCGTCGTGTGTAAACCTGTACAATTAAATCGAAAATGGAACAAACACAGAATCTAAACGAAGCGATCGAAGGTGAAACAGATAAAACAAGCGCATGCGGCGACGATTTCCTCGTCCGTTTCTTTCTTCCATTTTAATCATACCCAAACAAATAAAGAAAAACATGCGCGTCGATAACGCGGCGATTTAAATTTATCGCACACAGGTAAAAACCGGTGTGTCTCGTACACTCACGCGCGTAAATAATGAAGTCATGCGCGGACTACCGGAAAGAAGGAACAAGAGGTCATCGAAAACGATATTGATATGGATATATCACTACGCATATTACACACGTTTTGTTTTCGTACGCAAACAACTTGATCGTAATGTCGCGAAGTTAATGTTGTTGGCAAGTGTTGTAAACGACGCTGGCGGCCTTGTCGTGGCCTTAAATGCTTTCCTCCAAGTTTAAACTTTTGATATTTTTATTTTTTTTATATCAAAAAGTTTATAAAAAATAAAACTTAAGTAATATTTTAATTTCGGTACAAGTGGATAAATAATACTTGGACTTCCTCGACACCTGATTGTCTGTTGATTGCGCTACAAATGTGATAATATAGGGGCTCATCAAGGAAGCTAATCGTCAAGAGGCAAACAAACATGTATTAAATATAGATGGCGTTATTTTTTTCAAAACTACTTTTTATCTTGATAAAAATCTAATCGATATCTAAATTTCTCGGAATTGATTTGAAGTATCGTGAGAGTATTTTGCTGATAAGAACCCTCGTTTCCAGCCAGCCAGCCAGCCAGCCAGCCAGCTCGTCTCCAATAAATGCCGATTAGACATTTTGGCCGAAAAATATGCGCGTGTTGCATTTATTTTTTCCTTGCTTCATTCTAATCGCTTATGACGTGCGTTGAGAGTTTTTGTAACAAATGCATGCGAATTGTTCTGTTTCGCTTTCTGTGCTAGTTGGCGCTCGTAGGAGTCTCGCTAATAAAATTATAGAATTCATTGTCAGGGTCATTGCAGCGAGCGTACGCAGTGTACGGCGGCGTTTGTTTTCGCGTCGCGACATCGGTGTCGACGTTCTATTCATAGCCGCCCGCGTCGCTTGAGGTACTAAACTAATATTATCCGCGTCCATCTTACAACTACGTACAACTTGAGTTTACCAAGTTGGCTATTGGGAGAAACAAGTTACAAGTTAATACAATGTATAATATGTTGAAGGAAAGTCTTCAAAAGTAAAAACAAAAAAAGGTTTTTGGGTGTAAAAATTTGTTATTTGGGTGATATTTGGGGTTAGTTTTTAATAAAATGAAGCTATTTGAAATTAAAAATGCAAAAAATCATTTTTATACACGCAAATTACCTAAAAAATGCTATTTTTAAATACTAGTGTGTAAAATTGCAACTTTAACCATTGAAAATTTTGAAAAATGTATTATTTGTGTAAAATAAATTTCAATAAAAAATGCAAAAAATGCCACAAAGAAAATTCATTAGTTGCATTATTTGTGATTAAAAATACGAAAAAACACATTTTACACCCGTAAATTACTCAAAAATGTGAAAAACACTATTTTCTACGGCGAGTGTGAAAATTACAAGCTTACATACTTTAAAAAAATTCCAATTTTACGCATTATCACCTAAAAACATTAATTAACTTCAAAAACTTTCATTCTGCTTTCACCAAACAAAAATAAAGCAACGCCAACAAAATTTTTACTACTCTGCAGCTCAAGTTTCGAAGTTTCAATAGATAACTAGTAGCAATGCATCCAAAGGTATTAATTAGTATCAGTTAGTTAATTTGAGACCGATCGAATTGCACTCAAATAGCCAGACGTCTGCGCCGCGTCAGCGCAAATCGTACAAAAGCGCCTCGAATAACAAATAATTGATAGCAAACAATATACATACAACACTAAAAATAAAAGCGCATCACATCCGCTGAAATTATTAATTAAACAATAAATGTTTTTCCCCGCTAATCGTCCATGTAAAGGAGTCAATCACCTCGAAAACAAATGATGAAACATTATCGAAACGAACAAAAAAATTGTTGGTCGTCTGGATGTAATAAATTCATTAGAAATGAAACAATGCGATGGTCAGTAACCCAAAGTCTAGGCAAACGAACTCCGCAGAGGCAGCGAGATCGATACGTCTGGGGCGCGTTTAATTTCCACCCTGAAAACCGCCGAAAATGCAAGCGCCAGACACCCGCCTCCCACCACAGCACGACAAACTCTCGAGTTCAAGAGCACAGGATCAAGGATAACGACCCAACTGCGTAATAGACTACGTAAAATATCGATTCGCCGCGTCGCAGCGCACAGAAAAACAAAACAAATCAAAAAATTCATCTAAAAATCGGCTGGTGGAGGCGCCGGGGATATTATTGAATCGGCGTTGATAAATTAAATTTACAGAGCAATTGCGTAATGCATAAAACCAACAGAAAATATTATCCAACCGTCTATGAAAACAACAATAATTATAATTGCGATACACACACAATTACGACGCATTTATGCATTTAATTTTAAAACAATATTCACTATCGCACTCATTCAGAGACTCGGCGCGCGCTGCTATTTAATAATAGTCGAATAAACAACTTGTTTTCGTCAATAAAAATTGTTTATCACTTTTTGTCTGTGCGCAGTTCTGTTTACAGTAATTTTTACGTGCACGAAAAAATGTATCATAAATATAAAACTAATCGCTACTATTCGTAGAAATTTCACCAACACTAGAAATAATAGAAATAATATTCTGTGAGTGTTGTGAGCGCGACACAATGTTACGTAATCGTCGCCGAAGGTGACTCACAGAGGGTGTTGTCCTCGTCGTCGTCGCGCCCCCACCGCTGCCGCCGCCGCCGCCAAGTTTTACCCCCACTCTGATTTTACTCCGTCGTCGGCGCTCGCGCTACGTTCGCGCGCGCTTCCACACTCGTGTTATATTTAATTCCGCCGCGGACGCACGCAGTCGCTCAGTACGAAAAGTGCGCTCAGACTGTACGAACATAAAACATTCAACAAGAAAAAAAGCGTTAACAGTTTGTGTTTAACTGATTGAGTTTTGGTGAATTTTTGGATATTCTTGGATTTCTCTGTGCGAATTGGACACCGTGACGCGCAAAAGGACTTCGTTCGCCATCAGCAGTCAACTTGTTGGTAGGTGTCGTGTTATTTTCCCCACGCCAAAGAAAATTCAAGTGCGTTATTAGATAGGCAGATTACGGTTAAATCGGCTTTTTTCACGTTGTGTCGTTACGGTCGCGTGCCTCGAGGTGACAGATACGGTCTAATAACACCAACACAGTTTGTTTCACATCGCCTCTACACGTGTGCCATACAGTTATTTCGTGTAACTCTTGATCTACATGCTTAATCATTGTCGTTTCGGAATTATTTCACAAAATTTCGGGCATTGTATGCAAATTCTTCGAAAATTTCCCCTTAAAAGTACCTCGCTAATCTGTTATGTGATCACAGTGCACCGCTTCCGATAATTTTATCATAAAACGATAAGCATGGCGAACGAATGCTAAAATTAACCATCGAGGGTGGTTTTCGGTTCGCTGATTGTTCTAATCAAGCACCACGTGTACGCATGCAGATTACCAGCGAGCAACGATGACGCAATTCTAATTAATTTCTAGTGTAATGTGGACGATGCGCAATATTAGCATGAATAATTCACACGGATGACTCATCATTGATAATGGTTCATAATCACACCAATCACAGGATATTCACGATAAAAATGCGTGTATAAAATTCAATTATGCAATATTGGTGAAAAATAAAAGAGTCAAAGTAGAAGTCGGAGGAATTGTAGGGCATTCTTGAGCATTCGCGCGCGCCACTAGCCTAGTTCCATCGTGCGCTCGTTACCAGCGCACAACTTCTATTCAGAACGAACTCGTGTTGCAAGTTGTGAGCTACCGTGCCAGATGATGCTTGGCCTAATCCGTTGGCCGGTCAACCTACAAATTTGTTACACATTTTTATTTATACCTCGCAACTTTTTATTTTATTCATCATAGCTTCAATGAATTAATAAACAATGATGACTTGGATGTTTCCCGAATGTTGGCATCAATGAAACGCGCATGAATCACGATTTCCACGTGGAAAATCCTCTTACTATTGCATTACGTGGCGTTTTATAAGCGGCAACCATTTTTGTTTGTATTATATCAAGTTGAGTACAACTGGTTGCATACAATTGAATTTCATCGCGCGGAGTAAACAGATTTATAAATAGAATGCATAACAGCGCAATAAAAACAATACATAGCCGAAAAATCGCCGAGTCATCTTTGTGCTAAATACGCGTAATTTTAAGGTTGGAATGTTAAATTTAAATACAGCTCTGTTAGGTTAGGTCACAGTGGTGAAATGTAAATGCTAACCTTTCAGGCAGCTCACGCCGATGTAGCGTTTCGTCCAAATAATCACTCTTGCAGAACATTAGTGCAACACAACGTATTGCGTAATTAATAGCGCGATGTCGAAGTCGAAGTCTACGCGGAGTTAATAAAACGTAATATCGCCTCACAATGCATCCGAGTTTACCTTCAAATCGCCGCCACAAAACGAACAAAACAATCGCCTCAAATTGTTTACACTAAATTATTAATCAGATTATGAAAATTTTACCGAATGTGTAGTAACACAGTTTAATGAGTAATGTAAAGTGTAATATTATGGTCTAGTAAACGCGGCCGTGCGGTGGAACTTGCGCCAGTTCGAGAACAATGCGCTACAGGGTGTGCCCGAAACTAGATCAAGTCAATAAGTTTCAAAATCTTTGTTTTACGTATTACCTATATTAAAATCAACACATGCGACGCACTTAAATAATGCGTATATGTGCAAAGCGATGTGATGCACACGGCGATCATTATCATTCGTATTCCGCGCAATAATTTTACTCATACACACGATGACTAACTGCTCGACAAACATCGCATCATTGGTACGATTATGTTTGTTTATAAATATATGAAAATAAGTGGAGCGTATTATCTAATGTGTGCTTAAACTGAAATAAATCGAAGCGTGTGTGTTGCTGCTTTATTTGTGTTTTGACGTGTGAATTACGTTCGCAGAAAATAGAAAATGGGATGAGTGGGTTCAGGGAAAATTACGACCAAATAAAATTTCCTAGTAACTTCATATAAAGAGTTAAAGTGTTACTCAGCGATTTTCCTGTTTACGCTTCAATTTGGCAAATGATTTCAGTGTCCACGAACGCGTAGGAGTTAAAAAGAAGTAACTAATCACTTTCTTTTTAATTTTAAGAACCAAAAAAGTTAAAAGTACACACCAGCGCCATCTAGGTTCGAATTGCATAACTAAAAATATGATTTAATCTCTATATTAACTTTAATCTCTTATTTAACACTCTGTATGTTAAATTTTTGCCTCAAAAGGTAGTCTAAATTATTCTCGGACAAATAAAATATCCCCATACCAAAGTTTATTAAAATTAACTGAATGGTTTTTGCATGAAACAGTCACAAACAAACAAAACACATTCCCGATAGGATACGTGACGTACAAACAATAAAAAATCGATTGCGAATGCAATGCGCCCGGCTTAATCATAAACAAACACAATCGATGAGCAAAGCGATGACTTATTTCGCGTACGGCGTAGTAAAACATCAATTGCACAATTATTTGGCAGCGTGTAATAATAAAAAAATGATCGATTATTCAGCCGCGTTAAATAATGTGAAATGTGTGCGGATGCGAACGATCACGTTGCGGCTGTTAAGTAACAAAAGACATGCGAATAAAAATAATTAACAACTCCGCGGCGCACGTGAGTTTTCCGTCACGTTGCACGCCGGCGTGCGCGAGGCGTACGACTCACGTGTAAAAACACCTCAATTGTTCGCTCGACAACAATTCATACCTACATTGATAAGCCGAGCGCTCAATAAAAGGTCACTGTCAATTTGCAAATCGATGCGGTGATGATGAACAACTAATCATTGTGAAATATTGCGCGAGTTTAAACGTAAACTGGTTAGTAGGGTACTACTAGTCGTGAATAAATCGCAGGTGAATCAAGACGACCTTGACGCTTGGGTATTTATACTGCGGGAATGCGTCTGCAAACCCGATGCCCTTCTTCTTGCGTCTCGGAACCAGTCCTGTTGCATGTGCACATATTGTATGAGTAGTATACTCATTTGTTATATTTTCCTTTGCAGATGTGCTCAAGCAACGTATAATGGTTGCCGAATTAGTAGGCCGCGGTCAAAGTGGTTCTCCAGTCAACGGCGAAACACCCCACTTGAATTCAAACATGCCCTCCAGCCACGAAATGTACCCAACAAGCTCCTCGCCCGCTTCGGACGGCTATGGCTACATGAGTCCAAAGGGCAGCTCTAAAGACATGCTCCCCCAACGTAAACAACGCCTGTTTACCCCAGACAACCAGAAAGATGATAGTTATTGGGATCGTCGTCGACGTAACAACGAAGCAGCCAAACGCTCGCGAGAAAAACGACGCCTGAATGACATGGTCCTAGAACAACGCGTGTTGGAGTTAACCCGCGAGAATGCAATGCTGCGCGCGCAGTTGGAGACCATCCGAGAGGAATTCGGTATTGCTGGTGATCAAGTAGGAGTGTCCATGGAGAAGGTGCTCGCCGCAGCGAATGAAATGCCTCTCCCTAAACGTGCGAAATTAAGCGGACCTATATTTGGTAGTCCTAGCCCTATACCCACGTCTGTGATCCACCAGCCCATGCTCATGCCAAGCTCACCGTCCCCACAGCCGCATCAACCACACCATCCACCTACCAGTCACCATCCGCCACCGGCGTCGCACCCAGACTACCACCGAGACCATCGGGATCACCGTGACCTTCGGGATCATCGTGAACATGTCGAGTTTCAGCAGTATGCCGCCTTCACACCCTACCACCCCTCACCAATTCACTACCCAAGTGAGAGCAATAATGCGCTGAATCTGTCCCGGTCCCGCTACCGTGGACGTACACCACCCTATGACGTCAGTAGTAATTCTGGTGATGAATCAACTCCACTTGCACTCACCACCACCGAAGCAAACAACAGTCTACCATTAAAACTCCGCCACAAACAACATCTTGGAGAAAAGGACGCGGCTAATACCCTGTTGTCCCTTCAGAATATCAAACAGGAACCGGAACCTGAACCACGCTCCAGTCCTAGATACGATACCGAGGGTTCTAGCGACGAGCGTGATTCGGGTATATCTTTGGGGACCAACGAAAGGGAGACACGCCTGCCATTGCCGGCTGAATGGGCGGCCGCTAATGCCGCCGCTGCAACCCTGCAGAATCTCCACCAGCAGCCGGCACAGGGTGAACACACCAAGAACAACACGCCGATGCATTGCGAGCTGGCGCGACTCACCAACGAAGTGGCGTACCTCCGGTCGATAATACCCAAGAATGCCGCGTCGGACAAGCGTCTGCCCTAGAGCATGCACGACGCCCTCTGGTGGCGAATAGTGAGCCGATTTTTGTGATTTAGGAGCGCGCCCGCTTTAACTCTATATAGTAAAACATTAACAACTAAACTTATATTATAATATCAGGCATCTCAGCTGAGTTGAAGTTGATGGGACATATCATTATTCCGCAAGAGAAGATATTTATTATTTAGTGTAGGTATTTATTACGATTTTGAGCCAAAACTACCAAAATGGCTACGGCAACATCTTTGAAAACGAAAAAAAACTAAATATTTTCACTTCTATACTACACTATACTTACACTTTTGTTTGTAAAAAAAACTCAGCGCACGCTGTTTGATGATATGCCAATGTATTCCTATTGTTACTCATTCATTATTGCGAATTATTAATTAAAACTAAAACGAAAAATTCATCTCAATTCGGAAACAACTCGTCTTTTCAAAACACACCGCATGAATCATCAGATTGTTCATCATATCATTTCGGTAGAAATTAATCGTACCTATTTATTATTTAGCTGGAAAAATGTGTGATTATAAAACAAAACTATTTATCCTAAGATTGCGTTTATTTATGTATAAAATGTATGTATTGTATTTTTGTTATACGAAGCGCGCGCAAGGGTTGAGTAAGCATATTTTACCAGTGCGAGAGAGAAGAGAAAACGGCGGACGTTTTAAGTTATCTCATTAAACATTTAAACAATTATGTATGATATGTATATGTTTGTAAGACTGTGCTGGACAATACCTCACACAGAATACACACAAACACATAAAACAGATGAATGGTTGTGGCGTAGGTAGAAGAGAAAAGAAGGGAAGAAATTATATTCTTATATGAACGATATTATATTTATATGCAATTTATGTGAATGAGCAGAGAAGAGATAGTGATGAAATATATCATGTCCAGCACAATATATTGATACGATATTGATATATTCTATGATAATTAAAATGGAAAATATTCTGATATATTTTCATATTACCGTTAAATGTATCCTAAACATTAATATTATATTGAATAAATATTTGCATCGTTTTTCAAAAAATAGCAGACTTTTCTTTAATAAATCCATTATTTTTAAATTTCTAGGCATAAAATAACTATGGATCCTAAATAATCATATAAATGCAAATTTTAGTTTGTTTGTTTCACTTTTACGCACAAAACCAATAAAGTGATTTTAATAAATTTTAGTATAAAGAGAGTTTTGATATTGGAAAATAAAATAGGCTACTTTTTATTGCATAAAAATAACTTAAAGGGTGTAAAATAAGGAATGAAAGTTGGTACAGATATTATACTTACATATTTCAATTTAAAATGGCGTTAAAAGATATTTATTTGAGGATAATTTCATAATAAACTATAAAAGCCAGTACTAAACAAATATTATGCTGAAATTCAGACATAATATTTATTCCTGTGTTTCATGCAACACTTCTTCATTGTAGTTTCCCGTGAGTCATCACACGACCGTGATTATTATTCTCCGAATCGAATTGTATTCTAATTCCGCTAATTATCATATTATCAATTGATAAAACGCCTCTTTACTGTCGAAGACCCGAGAGCGAATCAAAGCCCTTCTAATGCATAATATTATCGTATTCATTGATTCACTTACATCCTACGCGTCTAATTTTATTATTATTTTATGTCTAACCAAATTAGGACGCGACTTTCCTCTCTTTCTTTCTGTTTTGCGTTGACACGGCATAAATCATAGAATGCACAGCATAATGCACGTCATATTGTGATATTGTCATGCAATTAATTGTATGATGAACCCTACTCTCCGTATGCGCTCAGTGTCACGTACTCACATGTGTTGCATGCCTTCCGCGCGTATATTTAAACAAAATCGTGTTCTATCAATGTGTAGTTGTGTGGAGCGTGGATGTTATGCATTCGGATCGTGTGAGGCGTGTGCGTTTCGTCGGTTTTTCGACCATGACCATGCCCAACAAAACGCCGAACGCGCCGAACACTCGTTCAAACAACTACCGCTTATATTCGTACACGTATTTCAAATCGTTAGAAGTCGTTGGAAAAAACGGACGTTTAGTATTATTGCGCAATGATTTGTTTTGTTAATCTTAAATGTATATGACTAATAATAGATAGAATAATTTTTATATGTGTAATAGGTACCCGTTGTCATTTGGTACACACGAGAAAAGTAGAGGTACTTGCAATACGTGCCCTACTAAGCGTACCACCACCACTCTTTGCGGGTAGTCCACAAAACGCTGCGTGCTGCCAGTGCTCAATCGTGCCTCTCTCCTTCAGCTTTTGTCTACAAGTCTCCTATCCCCTATAAACACTATTGTCATATATGGACCGTTTTTAACTACTTATTTACTAAAATTAACCATCATCAATTCTTTTTTATTTATATTTCAAGTATTTAAATGATTTTTTATTTTTTCCGAGTATTGTTGAGCGTGAATATATTTTTAGCAATTTTGGCAGTTCGTAGAAATTAGATCGAATCGACTTTTCCACCGACAGCGCAGCGCATGTCGAGTTAATTAATGTTCTCGAACTTTCCCGGTCGTACATCACGCATGCCGTGTGTTTTCCCTGCCAAAACAACAAACAGCTACAAATTTGTACGATTATTTCAGTGGGTAATGATACTAGGAACGCAGCTAATTCATCTTCAAAGTACGCGTCATCTGTTGTATCACATTAGAGGCATAGGTTAGACATAGCGCTAGGCAACCCACGATACAGGCAACTTTTGTTTTGTTGTTTTTCTAATTCATGATATAAGTTTTGATTGATTTGCCATGGATGTTGATGAGTTGTGATCCTTCAAAATCACACAGGGAGGGGGGAATGCCAGGGTTGCCTAGATTAGCCAGACAACCTGGTATACCCGGTGCTGAAGGTTATCCAGGAATGAAAAGGGTGATCAAGGTGAACGTGAACTTAGAGGTGAACACGGTAACCCGCTTTTTCAGGTAAATTTCCTTATTTCATTGTTTTCTACATATTATTTATTTGTTTTACGCACTGCTGAACATCCAGGTCTAAGAGGACTACCTGCGAGTCCCGGCAATCGGTATTTTTTTGCTAATTTTTTTGTGTTTGCGATTTAAGAGCGATCAGCCGAGCTCAGGGCAATTTACCCCAGTTGACCCCCCCTCTCATCGGCCCTGCCAGTAAGTGTGTTACAAAAATATTTGTAACTATTATTAACATTATTATTTGTTAGGGTATTGTTGGCCCGAGGGGGTTTCCTGGTCAAGACGGTTTAACAGGAACTGCAGGACGTGATGGAGCGTTAGCTCCTACAGGTGCTCCTGGCGAGCCTGGAACGCAAAATTTAGTTGCGATTAATTCTGGTTATGCACATGATGATCAAGGACCCAGAGGACATCCTGGTTTAACTGGATTGGTAAATATAATTATATCTTTTTTGGGTATATTTTTGTGTTATTTGATTTTAGTCAGGAGAACGGGGATCAGCTAGAGGAACAGGTCCTCCTGGTCTTTTGGGTTTTCCAGGTATTTTTAGAAAAGAAGGCCCACAAGGTGTTCCAGGACCACCGGGACAAAATGGTCAGCCTGGGGGTAAACCAGTCTTCCAGGACCATCTGAAAGTAATTGTTACATAACAAAATTTATATACTATTTAGCTTGAAAAACAATAGTTTTACGAGAGGATGAATATTAACATAATACTATTTAGCTATTTATTGTTTTATATTATATAGGATCGATCTGTTGGTGATGCAGAGATTAGAGAGATATGTCTGCTTGTTTTAAGAGGCAAATTGATAATATTTTTGTGTTATATATGTGAAAATTGAAAATGATATAAATGTATGCCATTAAACAACTAGATGATATAATGGCGACACTGCAGGGTCCGCCAGGTCCTCCAGGTATCAAAAATCTTATTTCTAACTGTTTTGAACATGTTGCAGCCATTTAATTTAGGCAACCACACGAACATGCTGCTTATACATTTGCACGCAAGTTAGCTTAGTTATTCTTTGTAAATGACTTGCCATTACTAACAAAGCGGCTGAAAGGTCCCCCGGGCCTCCCGGCATGCACGATGCTAATAGCTTGGGCTTGTTTGGTCCACCTGACATTCCAGGTAACACCAAACATTCTCACAAACAAAACCACAGCGAAAAATAAACTAAATACATTTAATTAACATGTAATTTTGTGTAGGTGCACCAGGAACAGTTGGTATTCCAGGCGATTGTGGATTTGAAGGCATGCCGGGAGTGTCAGGACCACCAATGGGACCTCAAGGGCCACCAGAAAAGCACGGTGAAAAGGACACTGAGGGAATGGGAAGGACCACAGGCGAAACAGCTAAACCAGATCAACGTGGCATTCGTAGTGAACCAGGGCCGGTTGACCCTGCGGGTAGGTGTGAGTTTTGCGATAGTTACGCGCAAAGTTGGCATACAATAAAGGTCCGCTAGCTGTCAGAAAGTAACGACAATCATTTTTCAAAAATATCTATTGAAAAATTAGTCTATTAGAGTATCTCGATATTAATAATAATATGCCTAATGACAATAATAATGGTAGAAAAGGCGCTTATACATTTTTAAAATAAAAATACAATATACAATATACCCACGCACACAAATATATAAAATGAAAACTGGTTATGTTTGCGCAGTCGCAGCGACGAACGCCTTCAGCCTAGCGCTCCGCAACACTTCATCCAAAGCGATGCGCTGTCGCTTTTCATCAGAGTACAGCTTACGAACACCCTGTTGTTTAGCAGTCTCTGCACGCAGCGCCATTACGGCGTAACGCATTACTGTAGATGCAATGTCCGAATACTTATACCCTGAATAGTGCTTCAAAATATCCGACCAGCTATCGGCTGGTTTACCGCCGTCCATTTCAACCAACCAATGAGCTAGGCAACACGCCGCAGCGGCATGCACGCTTGGTTTCACCGCGGATAAGTCATACTCAATCAGCGCAAGTTCAATTAAATACTTGCCTAGCTCATGTTGACGCAACGACGCCATTATTACCTTATGATAACGTCGGAGGAAAGTAATCGCTGTCGGTCTACCAAGACAAAAGTCCATCTTGTGTAACATATGCATCTCCATGCTGAGTATTTCGCTGCTTTTGTACGCATCGTCACAGATGTACAGCCAATCATCCATACCCACGATGTTTAGCTCTTCGTATTTATGCGCGATAAACATGGCGACAATTCCAACAAGTTGCAAATTGTCTTTTGTAATGCGATGATTTAGAGCTAGGTAGCGATCAATTAGAGATACACTCATGTATAGTGTCTCTTTTGTCAACTTGAATGAATCAAGGACTTCAACAATCCAGTCGATGAGCACTGCGCGATGCTTTTCAGTCACTTTAAGACCTTTGAGATGATTTTTCGCTATCGGATACTTATCTTCTAGATCCAATAAATATCGCATGATGTCTTTGATGTATTCACAGACAAGTTGCGGGTCGTCTTCGAGATCCACGTCACGTATTCCGTAGGGGACGGCATTGGACCTGGAAATGGGTTCGATGATCTTCCCTGCATTGAATGCCTTTGCAATATCTAGTTTAGTGTTTTGAATAGTTGGCATTAGTTGTTTTATTTGCGCATCAGGCATGACTTTCTTTATCTGCCCTTTTGTGGTTGGTACACCAGCATTGGTAGCTGCCACTTGGACAGCACTTGGGGCTGGTACTGGTTTCTTTAATACTGCTACTGGCTTCTTTAATGCTGGTTTCAGCAGAGATTCTTTTTCTTTCTTAACAGCGCCGAAGACAGTGCGAGTCGTGGCTAGAGGCTGCGGTTTTGTAGGTTTGTTCAGGGCGTTTGTCTTTGAGGCGAGGATTGGCCGCGGTGCTTGATTACCAACATCGTCAAAGACTGTGCGAGTTACGGGTTTAGGGTTGATCGCCAATTTAGCAGTGGCGACTGCTTGTCGTGGATTGTTTTCTTGCACGTTGTCGACGCCGATACGCCTACGGCCCTTGATGCGATCCATTTTTGTTACTTCCACACCTGGAGATAAATATGAATTGTAATAAAATATATGATTGCACAGTGAACACGTGTAGATATCGGAATAAAAACAATAAAAAACAAGATTTTGCAAAAAACCGTTAAAATTCGTTACGTTACATCTGTCAAACACTTACGGTCCAAGGAAAATGAAAAATTGATGGAACGTATGGCACGTTTAGTAAATAGCTTGTAAAATTGGACGATCACGACGAGCAGCGTTGAGATAAAAAGACGTTAAAGATATTGCAGCGTCGACCCAAACACGAACAGGGTGTGAAACAACTGTGAACGCGCTGCTTGTATCGGCAATGGCGAACAACCGTAACCGACTCGCCAATCAGCCAACTGACAGTTATAAAATTTGAAGTTTAAACTCGACGTTCGGATTGGCCCATTGCAATCCTAGATTCATCGATTTGTACCGAACATGCACGATTGTGCATAATACAGTTGGTATGCCTGATTTGTTTGCATTTTGTCTAAACAGTATTGGTTGTGCCCTCTACAGGGGTGTTTCGGAACTTCAATTACCATGAAACTGTATTTTCCTTTATACTCTATGAATGTATATACTTTCTGTTATCAAACTTTGTCCCTATTTACGCAGAGACCCATACATTGTCCTAATTTTATACAGTAGTCTAGATTTCATTTCTGTGGCGCGTACGGCGTGTGCCTCCCAGCTGTTACGTGGCTGTGCGTCGTGCACCACTTTCAAAATCGTTTGACAAGCGCCCACACGCACGGCGCGACAGCTTATACTGAACTCTACAACTTAATTCTAAAGTGCAATTATATTTACTAATTGTGCATGATGTCTGACCACCGGAAAGTGATCAACCCTCTGCTAAATGTGTCTGTGACCGGCGCCACCCTGGAAGATTTCTCTCAACACGCTGTTCTTCTACCAGCTGCAGAGGCGCCGCCCGTTTTACAGCCTGTACAATTACAACCACCCCCGACGTTACAGCCTACTTCCGGTACGTCTAATTGTGTTATTATAATTAAAATTAAATTAGGTTGATAGGTTATATGGGTTCCGTGTTACGCACTTGTTTGTTCTGTTTTATCTCGCGGGTTACATCTTTTGACAGTGACGTTGAGTGATTTACTATATGCAACACATCATACATCTTGTTTGCATTAATTTAAAAAGTTATAAAAAGTCATAAAATACTTAAAAATTAACTTAAATAAGTATTATTTTAACTTATTACGGACTTACCTAAAGATAATTAATAATTACGGCACATATTTTGAGATGTTAAGTCTACAAAGTCTTAAAAAATATGGAAAACCAGCTGAACACAAATTAAATGTTAAATAATTAATATCTAGTTGTAGTTGCCGAATTCTCAGGTCCTCTATACCTAATCGTTGCTTCAGGAATATCATGCGAAGCCTTCTGTTTCCTCTTCCCAGGTCCCCAGACACAACAGTACACAATGATGCCTATAATCGCTAAAATCAACAAAATACTGATGACAATTGCAGCAATTGCTGCAGAACCCAATGCAGCCCAATATGCATTAGCTTCATACGATCTTCTATTATTCTTAAGATCAATAGCAGTCAAAACAACACCTGACTGACAACAAGATCCACTCAAAACACCAGTCACTTCATCAGTTGTACCACTGATATATCCATGTGGAAAGTACAATCCTTCAGGACTTGATTGTATCAAAAGTAGACCAGTTTCTCTGTCCTGAGCTGTCACTTCCATAGTCCATGAATGATCTTCACATCTACTGAAGATTACATCTTGACAATTGCTTGTAAACTTGTGCCACATGTGTGGAACTTCATTATCTTGGCCATAAGCTGTATTTGAGTCTGTAGAACGAACTATTGATTTTTTATCGATTCTGTCTGAACCACTGGATGCAGAAAGTGTGACTAGATCATCACCACCCTTAGAAACCATGTGTAGAGTTACTACTACTGTTTGATGCGGGTTTATCCATGCCCTTAAAGTATTAATTTTATTATTTTTTAGCGTTTCAAAGGTTTAAACTTGATTTTTTAGTTTACCATAATGGTGATAGATGTCTAAGGTATGCACGTTCATCAGTCGCTTGAAAACGCATGAAAATCACATTATCTCGATTATTTGTGACTTTATACAAGATGTTTGAGCTCCTTCCTGGTGCTTGGAGTAGTTCACTTCCTTCACCGACAGTTATAGTCGTAGGTTCGATGATTTTATGAATATTCATGGGATTATAATATGAAATTCTTTGGAAATCATTACCTGAAATCGAATTTTAAAAATATTAATAAAGCTGCTTCATTGATGAAGTTTTTAACCTACCAGTTGAATCTTTTCCGTGTAATTGTATGTAAAGTTTCTCTTTGGGCAGATCTTCCAAGTCAATGTCCACATTTCCACCAGGTTTGAATGTTTCGATGTCATCTTGACTCTTAAGACGGTCATTGACGCTGAAGCGTAGGTTTTGTGATGCTAGTCGTTTACCATCGGATGTTATCAGTGTGACGTTGTCGATTTTTGCGTAATCACCGACGATATTCAAATGCAGACGTCGCTTGCCTAATATTTTGCATTGATAACAAGTATTTATGCATTAATAACAAAAACTAATCAATAAATTGCGTGTTTAGAAACAGAAAAAAACAAAATGACAATTACTCTGAACTTTGCACTTGAATAATTGCATTTTCTTGCAACTTATTAAATTAATGACGAATTGTTATGATTGTTATGATTCATAAAAGCAGAAATTGTTTTCGTAGGTTTATCTAAGACGTAAATTCAGGTCCGGCTTTAAGTGCTGTGTTTATTTGTCTCTCTGTGAATGAATTTGCGCAACATTTTGCGCGCGTTTGAATGATGGTAAACAGCAAGGTCAACATTTTTCAACACCTCTTCCCGCAGCCATAAAGTATTGCGTGGCCATCCAGAATCAAAGTTCATCGCATAACGTTATAACGTTATTATAAACATATGCGGTGAGCTTGGCGGAACGGTTATAAGTTATCGTTCAGCTGTCAATCGCGATAGAAGTGAGACTTGTAAATAAAGCAACAATCTTCACGTTTTTAATGTGATATTTTGTGAGTTTAGTTTGTTAGTGAGTGAATATGCATACGAACACTTATTTTAAACCTATTTATTTTTGTCTGAGAAGTAATTTTGAAGTTTTATAGTGAATTTTGAGAGTTTAAGGTGAGTTTATGACTTAAAAATGATTTTTAAAAGTATTATTGTAGAATTAATACGTGAACACATTGAACGTGATATTTTTTCTGTTTATTTTGTTATTGTGTGAATGTCTATACCAAAACTTATTTTTAATCTATTTATTTAAGTAAATTAAGATATGTTTGAAGTTTTTAAGTGAATTTTTAAAATCATGAATTTTAATAGATTTTAAGATGATTCTTTGAATTATTATTATGCAGTTACTTTCCCAGTACGTACGATGTAATGTTTTGTAAGTTTACTCACCTGTTGGCTGTCCATTGCGGTTTGCGGCCACGACATTCGCCTCGACCGTGAGCGCGTGTCGCGCGGAAACAACAATGTCGTAATAAATGCGCGCAGGCGCGTCGGTTTCCAACAGCCACTCGCCGACGGCGGCGGCAGGCGTCGCGGCGCCCAGCTTGGTTGGGTCAGTCTGTAACATTTCGCCGACGGCGGCGGCGGTGAGCGCCAGCTCGCATTCGAAGGTCGTGTCAGTCTTCACCACGTATGAACCACGCGCGTATCGTGACGCAGCGGTAATGTTCAACAGATCGATCAGGTAACCTGCGGAATTTTATCACAATATAATAAAAAATTAAAAGATAATATATAACCATGATTATGTTACCATTTGGTGTGTGTAAAACGGCTTTGGTTACTGTATTACTCATGGAAACGTGAATCGCGCTCACGCCGTTTTCGATTGGCACGCGCACACGCCGTTGACCGTGAACACCCGTCAGATGCGTAATTACAGGCTGCGGAAAATATTAACATACAATAAACATCCAAAAATCTATTTTTCTTTATTTTGTGTACTTACATTTGCTTTCCCGCTGACTTGCACATAGTTAGTATCTGTTGCGTACTTCCGCTCGGTGTTACCGATAACAAACGCGCCGTGAGTCAATTCGGTCGCTTCCTGCAAGAGTTTGTATTCCTGGCGAGCAGTCGGATAATCACCTTGCCACACCACAAATAACTAAAACATTCCAAAGATTATTTTTCTATAAAAAGAAGTAAATTTAAAGTTTAAACACTCACGCGTATTTGTTTCTTTTGCGTTTCTTTGATAGCGATCTGCGCGACATCTTCATCTTCAATCGGTGAATCAGTAAACATCAAAATGGCCGCATTCGGAGGTAATGCACGCGTTGCTTTCAGCACACTGAAAAAACTAGCTGCGGTTTCCATTTGTCCTATGTTTTGTCTCGTCCCTGATGTACCGGATGTCAATAAACGCCGGAAAGTTTCCGGGTCAGTCAGAGAACTCTGTGCGATTACCCCGGACACACCTGTATGATTAAAATACAAAATGGCGTCGTATAAACCTTTGATAAAGAAAAATTAAATTTTTTACCTGTTGAATTATATTTCATCAACCAAAAATCATTTCTTAGTTCAGGTCTTCTTAAAATATAATCCATGTAGAGTCCGGCTGTGCGTAACACTTCCGGGTTGTCTTGAATTACGAGTGCAATGGGACTATTCCATACATTTCGTAATTTCACACTGATTTCATTCACGCGTTGCTTGCCTTCGTTTGAAAGCGGCTGCAGTGGATTATTCTCGCGATTTCCGTTTATATCTACTTCTTCAACTGGATATTCTCCATTGTAATAATTTTCGTTTATATTCGGATGATGTGGTTTTATAATTTTTATTGATATCATATTATCTTTTCCCGGGGCCAAAATTTTGGGCACTCTTCGATTGAAATTCGGTATTTCTTCGTTTACATTGTAAAACTGTTCGGTTTGTATCGAACTGGTTGTTAATTTTGTACAAATACAAAAGAATATTATTAAATGTAACATTCTTGTTGTTAATTGCTAGATGAGCAGATCGGAACTGAAATTTTTAGTGTACGGAACACGTTTTTGTAGTCGACAAAATACTACGACGGAAGAATTTGTCATCTTTTGTGGGTTTGGAAAGGAAATTGTAGTAATCGTTATCTGTGTTATTTTGTGTACGCAATTATGAAACATACATATTTTCAATATTCGTGTTAACTGGCAGGTAAACATTGAATTAACACTGAAATAATCACTATTTCCAGACGATTTGAGGTGTTCTACGGGTTGATTGGTTAAATGCAGATGATAACACGGTTTTTACACTTTACACGTCACATTTCTTAAATGTTATGAAGTTATGATTAAGAATGAATCACTTTTACACATAATTGTTGTATTGAATGTAATGAAAGTGATTGTTAATCATATCCTGTAATGAGTTTTTAATTTCTATGGTAATATTGATAAGCAGTTTGACCTGAATACTGATTTTGTTGTTTCTTTGCAGAGATATCATTGGTGCCAAATCAAGAAGACTTACAGAATTACCAACCGATTCAATTTTCCGGTTTTGCCAATAATAATCAACAACCTGCACCGGAAAATTATAATTTTTATTCACCACCGATAAATTCTAACTCTAACTCTTGGGGAGGACAATATCCTCAACAACAACAACAACAAGATTATTCTTTTCCACAACAACAACCACAACAACCGTTTATACAACCTGAATTCACTGTGAATTCTAATTTTCCTCCACAACCACAATCAATACCAGAACAACAACCAGCTGGCCTACAATCAGTCTTTTCCTCATTCTCTTCTTATTTAAAACTCGGAGGTAGTCGCCCACAAGAAGAACAAGTAACTGCTGTACCTTCAGTTGTTGATTCCCTGTTGAGCTCGGTTGATCCCAACGCTCCAGTGGCTTCTGCAGCACCCGTACAGTTCTATTCTCCGGATACTACTTTCTCTGCACCTAGTGTTGCAGAATTAGTACCTACTGTACCTTTAGGAGGACTACCATCTCCTGTTTTACCTACAGGACCACCACCAGCTACTTCTAATACATACAGGCGTGGTGGATTCAAACGTCCGGCATACGCGCAGATTCCTGGACTTACTGCTGGTGCACAAGTAGCTGCACCACCTCCAGTACAACTTCAACCGAACATACCACCACTTCCGGTTGCGGTAAATCCTGTCCATTTACCACCGAGACCTCCATCTACACATTCACCTTATACTCTTGGTAGCACCAATTTAAATATACCAAGTGGTACTTCTGATTTTGGTTTAAACGCACTTCCATCACAAGTACAACCAGCTGTCATTCCTAGTATACCACTTATACCTGTTTCTACTGTTTCTGTACCTCCTTCACTTCCTGTTTTGCCTGTTTTGCCTGCAAAGCAACCTACACCACCTCCACCGACTTTTCAACATCAACAACAAATTTTACACCCCTCATTTTTACCTGTCACGCCACAGGTACCTCAAATACCTACTCCGAAAGTAGAAGCGCAATCGCCGTTTTTATCGCCAGTTTCGGTAACAGAAGAGATTCAATTAGCATCGATTCCTACCATTCCAAACACTGTACCTACATTTGACACATCTGCAACTCCGACTATACTCACTCCATCCACATATTATCCTGCTACTTCATTGACTGGACATTCTACACTGTTGAATACAGAAATGTCGAAAACCATCGGGGATTCTCCGCGTGCGTCGCCGGGTTTGAACGCACACAGAGCTGATTCCACAGAGCAACCAATTTTGACGCACAATGAAACCACACAAATGTATCGTCCAGTTTATCATCACTGGTTTTATAAAACAGCCAGTGATACCAAAGTGGTGTGGACGCCATTCTCTATGATGGATTCATTAAATTTGGATACTGCATATTTATCACGTGAGTTTCCATACATTTCTGTTTAGAATCTATAATTACTTTGTTTTTCGTTGGATAGCCGATTTGAGCCCTGATAGAGTCGAAGCCACTGACGGGGACGTTACGACGTCAATATTTTACTCCGAGAACGAGTTCCTGTTTACTGGAAAGGCCCCAAAGCCGAGGTACGTCGTTGTTCATGGTTTCACAAAGGTAACACCGATGGACGCTATGTCCCCTATGAAGAAAACGTTGCTACTAAACTAGAAGAAGAATTCAAAATTGCGTTTGAAACAAACACATGGAACAGACGTGTGGATCTTGCAAATGGCGAAAGTGTCGTCTTCCATGGACCGGATGTTCTCGTCCTGTTTCCACAAACACAGTGTCCTGACAGTTGGGGAAATACACCGGTTAGTAATAAACAATTTATATAAATTATATTTACTTAAAACACATTTTATTTCTATAGAATCAACCTAGACCTCGTGTAGTAAAACGTGGTCTGGATGAATTCCACATCGAAGAAGGAGAACCACCAAAAGTCGACCATCTTCTATTCATGGTCCACGGCATAGGAAAGTTCTGCGACTTAAAATTCCGTGGTGTAGAAGAAGCTGTAGATGAGTTCCGAAGCATGGCACTACAATTAGTACAGTCACACTACCGGTCATCATGTGAGAAAGAAATCGCAAACAGGATTGAAATATTACCCATAAGTTGGCACAGTAAATTACACTCAGAAGAAACTGGAGTTGATAAGAAGATAAAAGGAATCACCCTGGAAAGCATTCCGCGTTTGAGAGAATTTACAAATGATACAATTCTTGATGTCTTGTTTTATACCAGTCCGGTTTATTGCCAGACGATTATTTCCTCTGTCGGTAATGAATTGAATCGTGTCTATGAATTATTCAAACAAAGAAATCCTAGTTTCACTGGTGGTGTGTCTCTGGGTGGGCACAGTCTGGGATCATTGATTTTATTCGATATTTTGTGTCATCAACAGCCGGAAAATGAAAAACCAGGTGATCCAGAAACTCCAACTGGTGCGGAACCAGTGGACGATCAATTGTCTCCATTGAAACCACCTCCTAATGTGAGAAAGATGAGCAGGAGGATTAGTTACATGATGGCCCAAATGGGTACTGGCCAAGCGCAGATAAACTATCCACATTTACACTTTCAACCGAGACATTTCTTCGCGTTGGGATCACCGGTTGGCATGTTCGTGATGGTAAGAGGCTTAGAAAACCTTGGGGAACAATTTGCGCTACCTACATGCCAGGAATACTTCAATATCTTCCATCCGTATGACCCAGTCGCATACAGAATAGAAACACTGATTAATCCTGAGTTAGCTAATCTAAAACCCGTCTTGATTCCGCACCACAAAGGCAGAAAACGCATGCATTTAGAATTGAAAGAAACAATGGCGAGAGTAGGTGCTGATTTAAAACAGAAACTTATTGATTCAATGAAAAACACGTGGAATTCTTTCTATCAGTTTACATTGTTTAAAGGACAAACAACACAAGCAAATCCACCGAGTTTAGAAGAAGAGGTTAACAAAGTTCTTGAAGAACAACTGAAACAAGACGGTAATACTTCCGATGAAGATAGTATCATCGAAGCAGAGCAAACTGACTTAAATTTGGGTCAACTAAATGGTGGTCGTAGGGTTGACTATGTTCTTCAGGAAGCTCCTTTGGAATTCTTTAATGAGTATATCTTTGCGCTTACAAGCCACGTTTGTTACTGGGAATCAAACGATACAATCCTATTGATTGTCAAGGAGATCTACAACTCTAAAAACATATCCGCTGATAGTCAAATTCCCCAGCAAACAATGAAGATTGAACGGACAACTTCAACGTCATCAAATGATGACACATTTACGGCCAGAGGGATGGACCCGACCGTACCAATGCATGCAAATACAAATATTGGTCCTCCACCTATGGCTGGGTTTGTCCGGAAGTCGTAAATCTACACATTTTTCAAGTTTTCGAGGCCTGAATGTTGTTAGTTTGTTTTGGCTGTGACAAGGTTGTTGTTTTCGGCGGAAATTTATCATATACATAATAATTTATTATTGATCAAGGACATGACATCAGACGAAGTGCCTTGGAATGTGTTCCTGATGTCATCCACTTGTCTAGTGTACTTTATTGTAAAATAACAACAAATAATATCTTTTTAAAATACGATTAAATGCAATTCTATACATTTGAAGTCGTTGGCATGGCATTGAATGCTTTGTAAAATCAGTCCCAGGTCCCCCGTGCACGCATCCGTGCACTATAAATTAATAAAATCGTGTAAAAAATACAAAATAATCTCACGGAAAACATAGTCACACGAGCGTGCTGAGCTCGTGTGGAGAGTTTGTAGTCGCGACGCTGCTTAAATCAAGCGTTGGCGCATGCATACCAGGACTTACACTACCGCTAGCCTCTCGCGGATGTGAAAATTTTAAATTTTCTGTTGTAGGCGGTGTAGTCGTCGCAGGACGAAGGATATATGGACCATTGGCAAGAATCGTGGCTGGTGGCGAACCATGTGCGGTCGAATGTAGGAATCCTACACTGTAGTTACTCAAATGTGACGCGTGTGATTGATTCAGATGATTCAAGTGTGGCGCTGTCCCAGGCGCTGATATATTATGAAAAGAATTATGCGTATTAGCCTGTTGCAGTGCTAATTCTTTCACGGCATTAGTTTTCTCTCGCTGCCAAATAAAAACGTTGTGTACCATCGCACAGCCGCAGAAAACAATACCGAGACCAATGAATACGCTTGTTACTATCGCCGGTGTGGAATGGAATTGTATAAATGTATACAGAATTATTCCTGTGGTAATAAATAAGATATTTTACATTTGTTGTCATAGATGGACAAAAAAGAAGATGAATTACCTGTGAGAAACACCGGGATTGAGATGAAGAAACCTCCGACGGCGCATACACGACTCACCGACGACTTCTGCAGATATTTGTTGGTCCTGTTGGCAAGACAGAATTTTAACGGGCATATAATTACACATTGAAACGGTTCTCGTCTCTTAGCACTTCCCGTGCGCATCTCGGCTCACATCCGGCGCGAGCGCGTGTGAGTTTGATTATAAATTCATAATTAAAACGCCGGCGGCGAGGGAAAAGCAAGCAAACGGTATGCGATCGTCTCAAATTAAACCACTACACGCGTTAGAATTCCTTCGGCCGCTATATATTATAAACAAAAGAGTAGAGTAACAACTATGCAAATAGAATTTATGCCTGGTATTCATCTTACCGTTCGCTTCCACCATGCGGACTTTTAACGAGCTTCACAGCGAACAGGAATTGAATCGCGCACACCAGCAGACAGCACAGATTCAAGGATAAAGTAAGCGCGCACAGTGCCAGTGTCACTTCGTAAACCACCACGTATTCCTCGGCGGTGATAACAGTCAATTGTTCCGCTCTCAAGAGATCCCGAATGTCACTCGCGGTCACCGGAGAGATCTTCAGCAGGAATATGAGTGATAACAACGCTAGGAGTAGACTCACAAGGCACAGCAGTCCTAAACTAACAAGCATTTCCTTTACGCCCACTTGTTTTGATTTGGCGATGAATTTGTTCACTGGCCCCGGGGGGCGTGGCCGTGAAATATTCAATCCGCCATTCGCTGCTTTCGCATAGATGGAATGTTTCGATGTGTCTAGATTTGGGAGGTGTGTCACACTGAGTGGGTATTGTGTGCGTAGTGCACTGGCATTATTCGCGAGTGTACTGGGAACTCCTCCCCCAATGCTTCCAACGCCGCCTGGTGTGCGGTAGCGGTGAGAAACGTCATGTGAATGCCGTGGTTCCATTACCATCGAGCTATCCGGGCGGCTGGAACGCGCTACATTCCCATTCGCGTTGAGCATGTGTTTTAACATGTTGTTGGAAGTCTTCTTAGTCGCTCGGTGTTAATTTGTAGCGATGATTCGTGTCAGTCACGTAGTTTTTCCACATTTTTTCGGGGTTTTGCACGCGCATTGCACTTTCACATTGATGTTGATGGCACAGATGCTTGAACTGAAATGAAACACACGTAATATTAGAAATAGTTCAGTCGGAGGATGTTATAACGACATAACGGCCATCTGGCGCGCGCGTGTGCCGACGTCCCGGAAATGAATTTGTGCACCTGATGCACCTGCACTGCGTATTCACCTTCCACTTTGGTCTTTTTAAATGTATTAAGCAAAAGGAGTATTCTGCGCGGTTGTGTTTGTGTTGACAACGTCTCGTAATTGATTTCTTTATAAATAGCGGCGCAAATCGATCGACGACAATTACTCGGACTTGGCAAACGCATGCCGCTAATGGTTCTTGGATTTCTTCGCGCGAACTCACAGTTGTCACTACTGGCGTTAGGTGCGTGTGCGTTTATCGAAAAGAATTAATTAACGATCCACGACCGCACATGCCGAGCGCGAAGGTAAAATTCGAAGCCGATAAGGTCATAAAAACATGTTAGTTTCCCAGCGAGTTTATTTACCTGAACAGGTAGGATGCGATAGAGGTAATACGTGGCCAGAGCTCCGATGGCGTGCGGAGACCTTTTTGGCGGTGTCCACGACGACCTCGAGTGCACCACCGCAAGCACCATTCACGCACCTGACAATTAACCGCCGATTCGGCGTGGTTTAAATAAATACTACTAAAATGTTGTGTTATGCGTTGTGAGTGTCGTGTGGGCGCGCGCGCGACTGAGCGCTCCGGTCACATTTTTCCGAGCGACGCGAATGGAGGGCCGATGCCGCGAACGTGCGAACGCGCAATCCAACTGAAAGAGCTTCGCGCTCTCCCACCGCGTACCTGTGTGGCTGGCGTAATCCGTGCGCGGTATGAAGTCAAACTTCTCTGCTGCCGCAAAGGCCAACGAGTTGTGTGAAGAGTATTCAAGCGAGCGCGTACCATACACTTTGCGTTTGACCGTTGAAATATGTTTTAACCACGCTTCAAACCACGCATTACTTACAAATCTTTTACAATGATTACAATTTGAAGCGCCAGATGTTCATACATTTTTCATCCCATATTTATTTCAATTTATATTACAAGTGGAATGCTACAAATTACCTCTGCTTATGAAAACACTCTCCCTTTTAACAAATTACATCATCCTCCTTTATTATATTTGTTTCAAAACATATATAGTTAATAAATCCGCGTGCGGGTGCGCTCTGCACATAAATTTCTGCCTCACTTATATCTGTTAGTTTAGTGTCGCTAGCACGCACGCATTTCAATGCTTGTTTCCCTAAAAACATTCAATCCAAGTAACACCATCGACGTACTCGTCGAGAACGAAATTGTACAATTATACATAATGAGAAAAACAATCAAATCCAATTCGCATTCAACTAATACATGCATATATTCATAGATAACCCAAAATTGTTAAACTCTTCATTATTTTTTTTTTGAATCCACAGTGCACCACTAATCATATTTTATTGTTGTTGCTTTATTTGTATGTTTGCGAACAAGAGGGGGAGCGGGGATGGTGCGAAAAGAAAGTTATAGCATTGGCACGCGCAGTCAGATGAATTCTGGGCCGTATCACGGGGCCTACTCGGATAAAATCGCATAGAAACACAAAGAAAAACGCGCTTGGAAAATATCTAATATGCTAGGCTTGCTTCTGATGAATCGGGGGTAGTAAAGGGTGGTTCCGGGGGCTAGAGCATGATCCCCGTCGTCGTCGTCGATATAGAAAATTATGTGGGTGATTCATTTACTTTTTATAGTAGAAATTTAGTATCCGCTCCTGGTTTGACTTAAAAATTTGCTTGCGCCGGCGCAGGGGCCGCGAGGTTAGCTCATAGAGAGCTGACCGAGTGCCAGCAGTCGCTCCACGGCCGCGTTAATGTCGCCGAAGGTCGCGATCAGCGCCTGCAGGTTCGCCTCGCGGTTGACGAAACCCATCGCGGCCAGTTGTTCCAACTGCGCTTGGTATCTCGTCTCCGGTGGTGAATCGTCACGTTGTCCAGCCATATCAGCCACCATTCTAGCCATAAACTAAATTATAAAAAATCATTAGTGTTAATTAAACTATTTAATTATTAATCAGCATTGTTTACCTCTGAGAATGCGTTGGGATTAGTCGCAGCCCCGCCTGTGGTAGTAGTCCCGGTTGTAGGCGTAGTCGTGGTTGTACTAGAAGGCGTCGTCAGCCCTGAGAGCCCAATTGGGGGCGGCGGCGTCCCCAGAGTGTTCATCAAGTTAGGCGCGACCGCGCGCAGCGATTCCATGCCCTGTTGGATCTGCATAATTGCGTTAAGCGCTTGGGGATTCGCGATGATATTCTGCATCTCTGGATTCTGCATTTGTTGCATCAGTGTGGGCATCATTCCTCTCATCTGTTCCTGTAACGCTGGATTGCCTGATAGTAATGGGTTCTCATTCAACAATGCGCTGGCGGCGTTCGGGTCCGCTGCTAAAGCCTGCATCATACTCTGCGTATACGGAGCTGATAACATATTCTGCAACAATCCAGGATTCTCGGACATTTGCTGCAGCAGACTTTGCATCGGTGCGTTGTTAATCACACCAGGCCTCGGTCTTGTCGATCCATCATTACCAGCTGCAGGCGATCCCGCAGACCATGGATTAGTTGGATTGGGATTAGTCGCTCCGCCACCACCGCCGCCTCCACCACCACCTCCAGCTGACCACGGATTCGGCAGAGGTTCACGATTTTCGGTGCCTTGTTGTGGATTCGAAGCACTGCCGGTGTCCACAAGGCCAGAGAATGGATTCCGCGTGAATTGCTCGGTGGCGGCGCTGAGCATCGGTTCCTGAATATCGCGATACATACGCTGCAGCGCATTGTATCCGCCTGGGATGCTCTCCAGGTTACTGATCGCGCGGTCGTGGCTACGCATTAACTCTTGCAGCATTGACGGATTACGCGCTAGTTCCATCGTTTGCCTAAGGAGGTCAGGATTGTTGAGCATGTGGTTGATTTCGGGATTGCGCTCCATGAGCTGCTGCATCTGCGGATTGCTGGTAATAAGCGTGCGCATGTTGTCGGGGTCGTTCATTAAGCGCTGAACTAGAGGATTGTCGAGGACCTGACGCAACATTTCCGGATTGGTGAGAATCTCTGACTGCATTCGATTCTGCAGGTCCATGAAATTCGTGTTGCCCATGCCGAGGGATTCTAGACCAGCGAGACCTCCTAAACTACCCATTCCATAAGGTGTTTGACCTATATCAGCTAAAAATTTAATTTTAATTAGTTGGAAATCGTGTAAAACACCAAATCGATTGTCACGCGACGCGTTATCGTATTAATTAATAGTACAATCATGGTATTAATTAATTATTTAAGTAGTTTAACACTTACCAGCTCTTTGCGGGCCGGGATTACGTGGTGCTGCTTTAACAACTAAATGAATAACCAGTCCATCTTTAATATTTTGTGAAACTAGTGTTTCCGCATCCTTCAGGATCCTGCCAGCAAAGATTAGACACAGCTGTTCAACGTCCGAATTAAACTTGGGCGCCACTTGTGTTTTAAACTGCAACAATCAACATGAATCGAATTAATCAGGAAGCTGTTAGTTCTCGAACGCAATTACCTCAGCAACGGTGGCGTTCTGGTCGACGCTGAAGACCTCCTTCTCTTTGGGCGTCTTCACCGTGACGGTGATCATCGCCTTAGGCGTGTCCTGCTTGTCACCATCGTCGTCCGGCTCCTGCTTTCCGGCGTCTGACGACTGTGGCTGTTCGTCCGCCATGATACCGGGGATGACTGTGTGGGTTTCGCTGCGAGTCGGGAATGCAAATGCGTTTTATAGCGGCGTGTCGGCGCGCGGTTGGTGCGGTGAGTCGGCGGTGGTGGTTGACTCACCCGAGTCGTGCTGCAATGTGCCTTGTGTACTCCGTGAGAGGGCTTCTTGGGGGAGGTTGGTGTGATCACGGCTGCACATGCATTACGTGCCTCTCGCGAACGCGCTTTTGCGTGGTTTGGCTAGACTGCGTACGCCGCGCATAGGATGACTGTACTATTCTTGTTGACATACGTCAGTGGAACGCTTGCTGGCATCTGTTGGCGTAAGATTCAAACTAAAATTATAATTTCTGTATTTTATTGTTAAATTCTACGATAAATCATGTTGAAACTATTAAAATATATTAAACTAAATTTATTTACAACCTTAAAAGTATTTAAATTGTGGAAATATTATGAAAATATTGTTTTTTTACGTTTATATTTTTTTGGGAATAATATAGGCAACTTATCATGCGTAAAATTTAAAATGAAAGTGGTTTTCAACTTTTTTCATTATAATTTGTTATAAATTGATGCTTTTAATAAAATTTATTGTTTATATGCTTTGGAGATAATAGCTGGAGCGCTAATCGTCGTTTGTTTCTTCATTATCTTTGCGTTTGTTGTGGCCGTTGCGCTCGGATGGCTCCCGCGCAAAATAAAAGTGAATAATGGCCTTAAATGTAGGTTAGTAAAAAATAAGTCAGGGACACGAAACCGCAATGACATTGCAAGACGCGCAAATGCAAAATATGAGGATGATGTGGGCGGTTTAAAGTCAAAAATGTTGATGAATGTACTCTAACAAAGTTTGCGGGTAGTTTGATTAGAAGCAAAGTGGTTTAAAGTGAGTTTTATTGAAGATATTGATGAATGTGTCGAGATTTAAAAGAAAGGAACGTTCGGCACGGGTGCCACCCGCCCAGTGCGTTCGGGTTTGCGCCCGGAGCGCGACGCAGTCAGCTTGAATCCAGCATCGGGAGGCTGCTGCTTCATCCCGGGGCTCCGTGGCGCGCCCGGCGCGCGCACCAGCGGTCCATATTGATCTCGCGCGCCGCTGCATCCACGCATCTCGAGGCCGCGCGAAGAGCGATCTGTGCTGGCGCGTCGGCCGTCAGTCGTCGAAGGGAGCGCGCGAGCTGCGCCCGACTTGGAACACTCTCGCCGACACATCCCGCTGATGGTCATTGCTGGTGAATCATGGGCAGTGCATCCTCGCGAGTGCGGCCCGCGGCGCTGAGCTAGTGGCGACGACGAGACGACGCCGAACGCGCGCGCGACGCCGCCATCACCACCAAGGAGTCGTAGTCGAGGTGGGCGTGCGGGCGTGCGAGCGACTCCGTCGGCGGCGCGCTCTGGCATGACGGCCAAATCCGGGGGACAGACATGAGCCACCGCTGTCGTCGTCCAGGACCAGGACCGACCAGGCGCTAGGATGCTGCCGTGCTGCGAGCGACCGCTGGCGCTTCTGGCCACTGCCTTCCTCCTCGTCGTCATGCCCCCAGGTATACCATACACTCACACACCCAAAAAAACAGTCTGCAACACCCAAAAATTCAAAAATTTAAAATTCATGCTGCATGCGCGCACAGTCGGTGTTAATGCGTACATTAATCTGGCCAGTGAGAGGGTGGCCACCCTCTAGCGTGGCGGCGGTGGTGTGTCGCGCGGCCCGCCGTGCGGAAATTAGGTCAATGTGTTGTTTACATTGAATCGCCTAGATTTTCAACCGCCTGTCATCAAATCCCCGAGTCAACCTCGTAAATCACAAAAACCACCCCCTCAGACAACCAATCAATTAATGCAATTATTTCAAATCCTATTTTGCCGCGCACAAAAATAAAAATCTAATTTAATGGTTTTCGGCCGCCCCTCGACGCAGAACACGACTAGCGGTGACTCTGCGCGTGCTGGGGAATTGATGAAAGTGTTTCGCATGTTTTCCGACACTTTTTAACAAGGCGCTTGCCGGCGATGCGGCGACGCTCGGCCATATTTTCCAATTAAGCTCACTAATCATACATGCCGGCGCTGGCCCGCGCTGGAAATTGCACCGCGCCCGGTGTGCTCATAATTATGTATAATCCGCGCGGCGATGGAGTGCTGGCCTCTTCATTTTTAATGCACCACTCCATCACGAATTAACGTCTTTAGCACCTCGCTGCAACGCCCTCATGTTTATCCGACTCGATCTGCACATAACTACAAACAAATCAAACGCTTTAAAACCACTTTCAACTATTTATTTTGCTTGGGAATTCAATCAAACATTGAAAACTATGAGTTAGATTACTTTACAGTTTGTGTTAGAGCGAGTTTCATCACGTAAATTTAATTTAAATTAGTTTTATACTAAAACTTTTGCCTTCAGAATCACATTTTACATTGCATTGTGATGATTGTGATTCTGTTAATTAATTTTGTTTGATATCTGAGTATTTATATTAGTGAACAATGGAAAATGTGGCGACGGAAATGATACTTTTGAATCAAGATAGTAAACATGTTGTTTTATTATGTCACAAGGTGGCTTTAGTAGAAATATAGGCAACCCATTTTGTTCGCGTGCTTTGCGTCAATTTGGTAGTATATGTTACGATACGACGTTGCAATAACATAACCTATGACCACGGCTTGGATAAAATTGGCAACATTGCATAATGCACAAAATCCACAACTGTAGAACGCAAATAATACAGTAAATAATTAATTATTGCAATTGTAACATGATATCACGTAGAATTTTACAGATTAAAAACATGACTTTGATATTATTTTCATTATCAGTTTTTATTCAATGGTTTATTTGACCTAAATGCAACAAAATTGATTTTTAAATTTGTTTTCATTCATCCGCAGGACAAAAGAAACATTTTCATTGAAAATTAATATGAAATATTTAAATCTAAATAAAATTTAAGCAAAAATTTTGCTAAATCAAATGTTCGATTGTAAATATCTGGTTGCTAGGTATTCCCTTGTCGATTAACCGTCGAAGTTGGTTCTCGCCACACAGTTCTTCGTTTCGGGCCAACAAATGTTTGTATATGATATTAACTGACCTAAATCGGCAAATCCACCGGCGTTATTCCACACTATTTCACATCCGTGTCTTCCTCGCAAGTCCCCCGAGGGCCAAGAAGCTTTCCTTAGATATCCCATGCCCGCCGGCGGCCAGTGTCCCAGAATTCCATCGTCGGCACGCGTCCCGCGGGATCGCATTACGTTAAACACGAAATATTCTTTGTCCGCAACGCCTTCGACATTACCACGCTGCGCACGAAATGAATTAATCGCTCTCCAAGGTGTTCATTAAATGATTAAACAATTTACTCAGGCGCGATCAATCTGTAATTGGGCCCTGAACAATTACAAAAGGTTTTAAAAAATTTGGTTATGTTGCAGGAACGCTGCAAGGGCCGCACGAAAAGCGGCTGCTCAACAACCTGCTCGGTCCGTACAACGTCTTGGAGCGGCCCGTCGCCAACGAGTCGGAACCGCTGGAAGTGAAGTTCGGCCTAACGCTGCAGCAGATCATAGATGTGGTTAGTGCTTGCTTGCTTTTTCTAACCTCAAAATGAAAACAATTCTTAATAACCCCCCTCATCTATATAAAACTTTTATTGGTTAGGATTGTTTTCAAAATGGCCGCCTATGATAAACTATATGTACCAGAATTTAGGTTATGAGAGTGTGTAAGGAGGGAAACTCACCATCGGGTATTGAATGCAATGTCACGAATATTTTCTTAAGACGTGTTTTCCCCCTGTCTAGGACGAAAAGAATCAGATTCTCACGACAAACGCGTGGTTGAATTTGGTAAGTGAGCCCGCTCGTGAGCCACCACAGGCAGCATATCAGCCTCTTCGCATTGTTATGATCACACACTCAATATATAAATATATATATATAAATATTCGATGGGCGGCAAGGACACTATTTGCGTGGGCGCGCATCATGCATATAGTGTCATGCCTCGCAGCAATACTGTGTGGCTATGGACGTATAGCTCCCGAAGCGGGCGGCCGAGAGCGCGCACACACACCCGCCGCCCCCCTCTGCGTCGATGCGTTTCATTGTTCATGCACTCACAGATGAGATATTAAACGAAAACGAGATGAAGCTTTCGGGCGCGCTGGCGGTTGTGGGGCGGCACGCCGGGGGCAGCATCGCCTCGGCCGTCTATTTCTCTCTCTGTCTCTCTTTCTATCTCACTCTCTCTCCGTTTGCATGCGGTCTGTCATGTGACTAACAACCGATGTGTTTCCCTTTTTTCGTGTTCTCACCAACCACATAGGACGAGAAGAATCAACTCCTAATAACAAATATTTGGCTTTCTTTGGTAAGTGAAAACCAATTCTAAATAAATTTAAAACATTTATAAACACACACGGCAGATATCAACTCTACTACTCGTATATCAACTTTCAACCCCCGATTGAGTAAAAATGACTACCGAGTAGTTTTGACTTAACCTCAAACCCCAGTTGGAATGTTATGCTGGTTCTAGCATTGGTCTTGGAACCGGCAGATTGTTACTATTACTATTACCCAAATTAGATTATTTTATCTTTGTAGGCTAGACACATTTGTAAATATAACAACAACGCATTTAATTAAAGTAGTCTTGCGTAGCTTATTAACGTTTTTGGTACAAATACTACAAAAGACAACACGCTCACATTCCGACAATGATACAGCGACGTGCAGACGTGGGAATTTGGCTTTTTGCAAATTGCCGAGACGCCGCGGTACTTTTATCAGCGTAATTACGTGCATTCCGCACCAGTGCGGTGCGTGCGGCATTCTTCACTGAACAATAGACGAGCTTCTCTCTTGGTTATTAACTTGGCGTTCGAAATAAAGCCGCGCTGATGAAGTCTATCATTTTTGTTGATTAGTTTACGATTCGTTGATTTATTGGTTGAATTATGTTTTGCCATTTGTAGTGTTTCGACTGTTTCAAGACTGCCGTGTGTGTACGACTCTCTAAACTGATTACATTAACTATAAGCTTTCATAATATGAACTTTTCTTCGTTTTGATTTCGAAGCTTTTCGTTTCAAGTAGTTTCGACACTTTGATTTGACCCTGGCGTCTGAAATTAAAATTTTCTCGCACGTTTTCTTGCCTGATTTCTACAACATTCGATGTTTCTTGCCGTAATTAACTTATTAACTTTGGATTTTCTTCGAATTTATTATTTTCTAGTTTATTTTTCGTTTGTTTCTGAGTTTGACCTAACAAAAACGAAGCATAAAGTGTAACATACTTGTAAAATGGCCACACTAAAAAAAGCATCGATCGTTAAATGAATATTATTAAAAGTATCGACCCCCTCTGGTTTATCCCCGTCTATCTATATCACCTATACCGTGTGTGCATGCTTCCAAAATGTGAATGCTAATAGTCGAAAAGTCCGCAACCCGTGACACTTAACGTGCGCCCTGGCGTGGCAAAAACGCCGCATCGTGAAACTTTTCCAAATTTGCGGGCGTGCACCACGCGCAAGCTGCTGCAGACCGCATAATGTCCGCCGCAGATAGCCATGGAGATTCGCCCGTCGATTTTACGAGCCGAACCAAACTTGTGCGCTTTATGTCGGCGACGCAAAGTTGCCTGAATTTTACGACCGAAAGTTATAGCTGCGTCGTGAGGCGGTGACAACAAACTGGTGACGGTCACACGCCAGACGAACGAGCAAAAAAAACGCGCGCATAAAAACTCAAAATCAAAGTTTCGATGTTATCACGGCGTGTCAAACGCGCAGGACGTACGTTAATTGTGACTATCCTGAAGTTGGCACCCAGCGTTCGCAGTAGTTGCTTGTTTGTTTGTTATCTGTTGTAAATTGATGTAAATAATCCTTGCATAAGTAAATTCTGCAACTTGTACGACATAAAAATGTAAATTTGGTTGCATACATTGATGTAGTATAGGTTATGATGGTGTATAAGTTGTAGAATTTCGTTAGTGGGACAGTTGGTAATTAATAAGTCACATTCACAACATCCACCTGGACCGCGCGCACGAATCACGCGTTTGCGATTCATGCGCCCGATTCAATTACACACGCCACGCTCGCTGGTTCACTCGCTCGCACGCACCTCGCCCGCCCGCCGCTCCACACGACGTACACGACGGCGGCGGTGGCGGCGGCGGGCGCGCGCCGCAAAAAACACTAATCGATGCCGTTGTCGACGGCGGCGGCCCGTTCGTTGCGCGCCCGTTTTCGCAGGAATGGAACGACTACAATCTGCGCTGGAACGAGACGGAGTACGGGGGGGTCAAGGATTTACGCATAACTCCGAACAAGCTCTGGAAGCCGGACGTGCTCATGTACAACAGGTAACAAGTGTAGTGCCATGCCTCTTTTTACTCTACTCTATCTCACTTAACTCTTACGATTCTGTGTGTGTTTCTGGTCTCTTTTCTCTCCCCCAACACTCTAGATCTGTGTATATTTCTCTGAAACTTTCTCCAAAGCCGTGTAATTACCCTCAGCCCCATTGTGTCATGACCCTGTATATGGTATCAATGTGGAATACGATGTGTGTGTGTGTACATGTGATTCCCCCGAATTTGTGTCCCCACATGTGTACATGATCTCATTGCTTACCCAGCCCTAACCGTTGACACCTTAGCCTAGGCAACACACCGCACACACACGCTAATACACACCCGACCACTCAACGCCGCCATTTTGTCTCTCATCAATCTCTCGCTCTCTATGAATTTGATTATCTGCATGCCTTAGATTTCACTACTAATATTTTTACTGTACGAATGCCTTTGGTTGATGTTTGTTTTGCGCTATTGTCTCTCTATATCTATCTTTGATCACTTGGATCACATTCGAACTACTTCGCCAACAGAACGCCTACAAAATTAAACAAAATTTCACTCAATGAAACGAATCAATGCCGCCTTGTTTCGCACTTTTCCTTGCCCGGTTGGTAATGTGTCACGTGTCGTGCATGTCTTCCCATGCTCATTAAAAGAAAAGCGCGAAACAAGGCGACGATGATTCAGCCAGCGTTTGTTTGAAAGGGTCACTGTAAATAACAATTAGCGCTGCCTCGGCTCGCGCAAGATGGCCGCGCGTCGGGGGACAGCAGCGCCACTTACGTTTATTTACATATTCGAAACAATCGTCCTTTCCGTTCGCCGCGCGCAATTATCCTCACGCGTGTGTGATGTGTGAAAAGCACTCATTAAAACAACACACGCATACACACGGAGACGTACGTCTCGCGCGTCAAAATGGCGGACGGGAAGAGCACGTCAACACCATTTGCGTTAAATGATGATCGCGTATTGGCGATCAACGGACCGGCTCGGACTCCCGATCTACTCTCTTGGCTCTTGAGGTACGGTGCTTGAGTCAGGAGTGAAGGATGAAGGATAAAGGACCAAGAACCAAGTGCGAAGCGGACGCCCCGATAGACGCTCGCGTTCGCGCTAATCGATAAGAAAAACGAGAGTAGATAACGATTATGCGTCTGGGGGTAGGGCCGTCGTGTGTTTAATTAAAACGGTTTCGGTCACGAGCGTATTGTTACAGTGACTCGAGGCGACCGGGGTTAAAACCGACCGCAAAAAAGGAAAGCCCAATTGTATAAGTGTTGCAAAAAATGTTACACGTTGTTTTTTCTCTGTTACGTTACGTTAGCTACGTTTACATCTTTGTGTTTCGATGTCCACCTTCATTTCGACTCTCACCCACCTTTTTTGTGTCTTACTAATAGTGTTTTGTACTTGTTCTACGTTTTTACCTGTGTGATTGTCCGAAACTCTTCTCTTCAAATCAAACACTTTATTTCAACCCCCTTTATTAGAGGTTAGAAGAGGTTATGTATAAGTCGGACCATGACACAAATAGGAATGTACAACTTGGTCTCTTTAAAGTGATGATGATGATGATGATAATGATGATGATGATGATGAACTGTGTGTATGTTGCGAATATGTTGGGTGGGAAGTACACAGACAGCTAGCCGTTGCTGTGGGCCACAGCTACTTCCGACCCTCCGGAGTCGAACGCCGGACTGATACCGGATACCGTATAATGCGCACTCTGTCTCTCTCTGCCAATTCTCACCAATTGACCACCTCTTTCAAACTCTTTTTCTGCGAACGGACCACCTCACCATAATCTCTGCTCGCTATTTATATATCGAACACCAAAAGCTTGTTTTCATCTATTAATATCTCGCAAGTTAAATATAAAACACAGGGCGGCCATTGGATTACTTTCAATGGCTGCCCGCCACCAGATGGCGTGGTCATCCATTTTTAGGATCATTAATCCTCTAACCTCGAAATCCGCCTACAAAGTCAAACTCACAGTTTAAACATTGACACACGATACATGCAAACAAACCAAGCACACAACCCTAGCTCAAAGGAAACTTTGATGGCGCTTAATATGTGCAATAGTTTACACATTTTGCATGTCTGACATCCACACATAACCTGAAATTCAGAAAACCAAAAAAAGAAACCAACCAAATCAATATGCCTCTATTTGTTTTCATTTTCGTGCGGCTGGTAGCAGTTTGAAACTTCGACTCCTGTTGGGCCGGAACGTCCCTGAAATCTCTCAATGTAACAGCACAGAAAAACCCACTAAATCGAGACCGCTCGCTCTAAAGACGCTCACTAAACTAAACGAAGGTAACTAAAAAGCACGCTATCTATAGCTTCTAAACTAATTAATAACTAAATATCGAACCACGCCCCCCATGCTCCCCGGGTGGCGGGTGATGCTAAACGCTTTAAAGGCGTTCACGCCGCCCGATTAAAACCAAATCAAGCTTAAAATCAACGCAGCGCCGCGGTCGGCGGCTGGCTAAATGACACCACGCGCGTAAAACTGACGTAAGGATTTGACAGGCAATCACACTGCTTGGCATATTCCTTTGCGGTTAAAAGACAACCGATTGACGACGCGTTGTTGCTGCTGTCACCAGTTTTTTTGTTTTTCTTTGATTTGTTTCGATTAATTTTCATCACTTTCTCTTGATCTGTCTATCTGCATCTTGATTGCGATAGTTTTCAACAAGGGAGCGGCCATTTTGTGCTCCCGACACGATTTCATATATCTATATATAGCCGTGGTCACTGCAACCGTGCCCCCCACTTCGTGACTCACTGAAAACCGGACGTGACGAGACGTGTTGATTTTTTCTCTCAATTTTTGTGTTTGGAGCATGTGACTTTTTGTGACACGCCAATTTTTGTACGCCAACTGACTGGAACACTCTGACTTGATATCACTAGACCGAGCAAGAGAAAAACAACGGATGCCTTTAGCTGTTTTACCTGTTGTACGTGCGAGATGTCAGTGTTGAGATGCGTTGCGATGCAGTCGGTGGATGATTGTTGCATGATATGCCAATTTGAAACAGAAACAGATTTTTGCCAGGCAAGAAACAAGCCCCGCGCGCGACACACTCTCTTTCTCTTTGTGTAGACAACGCTTTTTTCCGCAAAATTAACACACCAGAATTTTCAATTCAAAAAGAAACGGAAATCATTGCTTCTAAGCCAAAAAAAAAACAAAAAAAAAATGCCAGCTGGTGTGAGTTTTCAGCGCCCGTTTTTGACTTAACGAATTGTGTGTTGTTGATATGAAGTGCTGATGAGGGTTTCGACGGGACATTCCAAACAAACGTTGTGGTCAAACATAACGGCAGCTGCTTGTACGTCCCTCCGGGTATCTTCAAGAGCACATGCAAGATAGACATTACGTGGTTCCCCTTTGATGACCAACACTGTGACATGAAGTTCGGTAGCTGGACGTATGACGGCAACCAGGTATACAAGCTATTAAGATGTGGTAGATTTATCTATATATATATTGTTCTATGTGTGTGTGCAAAAAACAATACACCAACGCGTCTACACTTAATTAAAATGCATTTTAGCCACACTTAAATATCTCAACCGAATTAGCCGAACGTTACACACACTTAGTGCACATTAATTGGACGCATTTCTGACATAGAGATAACCTCATTGTTGAACTGCGCTATGCTCGGCTTGATGTGTCCAGTTAATGGCAATGCAAATATGTCCAACTGCGAGTGTTATTAGCGAACGTCAATGTTGTTAGCTTTAGATTTACACATGCGACGAGGCGTAAACTCGTCTGCAATCGAAATTCGATTTCGGGAGCGTGCATGCACGAATCGCATTTCGCTCACGACCTGCCACCATTTGCCACCTAGTTTCACACCAACTTAATTGTCACCACACACATCACGAGCGCTTTTTCCACACTTTTCGTTCTGGAAAACATTTTCGATCGTGACGTGAATAGCGTGTATTCGAGGCTATGTAAACGTACGCGAGCGCGTAAAGTTGCCTATGTTAGACTCGCGTCGCCTGCGTCTTTTGTGGGAACCATGTGACTGTATCGCTATAGATTTGCTATTTTGCATGGAGCCGACGTGCAGGCGATCTCACTGTTATCGACTGGCGTGCCTGTTTCTAACAGTGGGATCCGCCGAACTTGATGATTATGCTTCTGGCAGGGATGTGCGTGCAAGAAAAACGAAAACACCGTTCCCACCAAAAATAAAATATTCAAAAATGTCTCATCACCGTCCAACCAACCAAAAATACACAAAACGATCATTTCGTATATTGTGTGTGTCGTCACTTTCTGTACAGTTAGCAAATTTGAGAATTTTCTTTTCGATTTAATGCTTACCATTTCGTTTTTCTGTATCTACTATTTTTGATACAGTAGCTAGAGTTATCGAGTCTATGATGATCATGATGATGAACTTGTTGTGTGCAGTTTAATGGCAGTTTAATTTAGGTTCGGACATCGCCATCCTCACGTCGTTCATCGAGCAAGCATAGAAATGGTCGCGTTAATATTCGAGCGACTAACGCTACCGCGCATGCGTGATTCACGCGCTTCACTTCGGGTTGTCGGGTTATTAAAGACATCTGCATGTCTGTTTTTCTGTGATTTTTCGTTCTCGTTTTTCGCGTGTGTCGCATGCTAGCGATGCTCGTGCTGTTTTTGTTTTTGATTTTTGAAGATGATGATCGAACACGCGCGCACGCGCACGCTCTCGTCTTCCTAGTGTGTGTGTTTGTGCATATAGGCTGCAATTTAGCGCACGCACACTCCGGATAGAATTACATGACAAGTTTTCCGGCAGCTGGACCTGCAGCTGAACTCCGAGGACGGCGGTGATCTCTCCGACTTTATTACGAACGGCGAGTGGTACCTCATAGGTAAGTGCAATCCGCCATTGACCAGGTCACGTGTCGGGAACATAAACAACGTGTGTTTATTCTTAGATGGATGTTAAATGAGTGAATTTTGCACTTTTTGTAAAAGACACGTGTGCTGAATGGTTACAGGCATGCCCGGAAAGAAAAACACCATCGTCTACCAGTGCTGTCCGGAGCCGTACGTCGACGTCACGTTCACAATTCAAATCCGGCGGCGGACGCTCTACTACTTCTTCAATCTGATAGTTCCTTGCGTGCTCATCTCCTCAATGGCGCTGCTGGGCTTCACGCTGCCGCCGGACTCTGGCGAGAAGCTGACACTAGGTAGGTGCCATTTTTCCAAAACCACACGTGGTACCTTACATAATTCACATGTTTTCCCATACTGACGAATTTAGCGCACGGAGGACACTACCGAAATCAACACCACTTGAAAACCAAATAATCATGTATACAGTGTCAAAACGTGCGCTTTCTTTCAGGTGTCACCATACTTCTTTCATTGACTGTATTTCTCAACCTAGTAGCTGAAAAGATACCAACCACGTCCGATGCAGTTCCGTTGATAGGTACGGGCGCGCGAATGTAGCGTGACGTTGTGTTGAGTGTATCGTAACACCGTCCGATTAGCGAATACCCGAGATTTGCCCCGTCGGCCATTTTTACCACCATAAAAATGGCGGCCGTCCACAGTTTCACTGTCGTGTTCTTAGTTATTATATACATCCACGTTTACTATTCGTAACTTATGCGATGACATGATGAACGTTTTGTTTGTTTGTTTATTCCGTTTCTATATTGAATATTGATTGTGACTGCAGCGACTTAAGATGCTAGTCGCCTTCTGGTCACACCGAATGAGACATGACGTTCGTAGAGCATCGCCTGCTGTAATTAATATCTGAACCCGTGACCTGCCTGTCAATTTTGCGCGATTCTTGCTTGGATGATGATAATATTAATCAAGCAATTGATATCTATTGATATGTTTATTTAAATTTTCATGCTGACACTGATTGTGTAATTATGCTAGATGATTGAACGATTAGCGAACCCTTTTTCTCAGATTTACACTCAAACCAAAACGTACTCGCAACATACGATGGTACATATATTAATGTAGTGACCTAGTGACACACTATCAGCGGTGGTAAGTAGCAAAAAGAATACAAAGTGATGAAATACGGCGGGCAGGCAGAGCCACACGTAAAAGCAAAACAGAGTTTCCACCTCTCACGCAGCACAATCAGTCCGCGCACCTCCCGGATCACAGATGGCGCCACTGGAGAAAACGTTGTTTCGCTTTTTTTGTTTTCTTGTGACGCACTCACTCGCTCGCGCACTCTCCTCCCGTTATGTGTTCAAAAAGCCTGTGTGTTCTGTTGCAGGAGTGACCATCTTGCTCTCGTTGACCGTGTTCCTGAACCTCGTGGCAGAAACCTTGCCCCAAGTATCTGACGCCATCCCTCTGTTAGGTACACGCCATGAACACGTTTTGTCTCTCTTATTCTCTGTCTGAACATACTCTCTCTATATATAAATATTTGCCTGCCGCTACTAAATTTATACTATACGTAACTTTAAAAAGGATGATGATGAACGAGCTGTGACGATTCGCTTCCTCGTTTTTGTGTTGATATACGATGAGTTTTCTTGTGTTGTGTTGTTTTTTGATCTCTATATATCTCGACCTCTCTATATTTGCTCATGATGTGTGCGTGCGTGTATGTTTGTGTTGCATTTCGTGGGCAACTCTTTTTCGACATCAAAAGCTCGAAATTGCATTAAGCGTATATCATTAAGCGCGCCGCGCGCAAACAAGCGTGCATTATTCGTGCATACATTTCGCGGGTTAGTAGGCATACCTCTAAACCGGGTTTGTTTTTATTTCGGTGTGCAGTTCTCATCTCGTTTTCTCATTTCGTTTCGTTTTAATGGAATGGCTTTTTATCGAAACATTGCGTTAGAAACCCCCGTTTTTTCTCTCGGTTATATATCTACATTTTTACATTTTTTGATCATGATCAAAGCATAATGCCCTTTGGGTTGCCTACATTCCGCATCCGGTTTATACCTGCCTCTCGGATGCGAGTCGGGCGAGTTTTCTTTTTCTTTGTGCGCTGTCACAAACACACGAAACTGTGGAAGGAGCGCAGCGACATGCTCGGAACCACTTGGAACCGTTTCTTTGGCGAGCGGTGAGGCACCACAACACCGTCGTCCTCCTCATCCTCTCTCGTTCAGCATCCGGTTGTCCATCCAATCAGTCCGGCATTTCCGCCAGCAATAATGAGTCTTGAGTCTCTCTTGCATTTAGGACATTCCCGATGGGAGGTAGCCAATATGCACAGATCCTCGGCCCGTTGACGCACTGTCTGTTCGCAGGTGTCACGATCCTGCTCTCGCAGACCGTGTTCTCGCTGCTGGTGGCGAACGTGATCACGAAGACCTCCGAGGCGGTGCCGCTGATAGGTTAGCGCCCTCCAAACACTCACCACCCCACACACCGAATGCAATCAAAACTCAACAATCGAATATTTAACAATGCAAATGTGTCTTTTAGCGGACTGTCCAACTGCGTCATCTTTAATACGACTTTTCTTTACGTTGCAATTCAGACCGGCCCATCAATCGGGACCAATACACCTTTAGTGCACTCACCAAGTTCACACACTAAACACGTCGGACCATCTCGTTTGGTTCGCCGAGACACTTTGCTTTTTTATGATCTTCCAAACTCTGTTTTCTCTATAAAGTCTATCTCTTCCGTTTCGTTTCGAAATCAATGCGCCGCTGCGATCTCGAAACTTAGATGACTCTTGACATGAATTATTGACTTCACTTCACTTCCAATGCTTCAAATTAGATGGCGGAAATGTGGTCTCGAGGTGATAAAACTTATGCAATAACGCAATACAGCGAAAGGTAAAAGCGATCAATGCTAAATAACTTAAAAACGTATAAAACCCCCAAAAAACTCACTCCTGTCATCGTTAATCCCCTCCTCGAAAAGAACGTCCATCAATAACCTCTTCTTTCGGCTATTTTCCTTTCTTAAGCGCCTCTTAACGCTCGTAATCGAATCGGCAACTTTCCGCAGCAGCTCTCTTCCACTCTTTCGCCACACGAGTCTTAATCGCATTCGCGGCCATCTTGAATGTCAGAAAGTGACGTCATCTCCTCATTGCCTCTACATCAACAGATCTATCAAAACTGTCGCTTCACCGTAGTACAAACTGTGCGAAAAGCCAAAATGAATAGCTCTCTCAAGCCGCTCTGTCTGTCAATGTCGTCCGCTTTTGACATTCGTTCAACACAGATTCGACGTCACCCCGCAAAACATAAAAAATCGCATCTAAACCCGCTCAATAAATAACCACCACCGATGATGAACCCTAAAAACAGACGCATGTCGATATTGCGATGGATTTCTGCATGCCGACTTGCATTAAATCAAACCAAAACAACTAAACAAATTCCTGTGTTAAAGAAAAAAACTTTACCTGAAACCTAGTGGGATGCTAACCCTAGATGGCTTGAATTGCATTGTAATCCATTCGATCATAATCGTCATCGATGAAAACCTCATTAAATTTCATCATATCTCAATTTGCTTCGTTCGATTAGAGTGCTAGATAACTGTCACTTACTTTCAACCCTTTCGGCCGCCCCCAGCTTTCATTCAAAGCCTCCCCTCGCCCTCGAATCACACTAATCAACTTAAAGCGGCAATCGATTTTGCTGCTGATTAAATTTTTGCACCTAAACGGCTGTACTGTAATGTTTTGTCTTTTAATAATCTAATCGTCAACATAAACGTGTATCATATTTTAAGTGTTTTGATAACGCACAATTTTAACAACTCTAGCTTAACGAATCCGTACGTTTTTTTCTGACACGCCAAACTAAAGTCTTAAATGTGTAAAAATCCGACCTCGGCCCCAGAGCGATGCTTAAGCACCGTAGTATAATAACGTAGCTACTTTTATCAGCAGGGTACCAATTTAGCTCACGAATGTGATAATCACTTCTCACCGTTTCACTTCATCGTAGTCGATTAGTTCTAAGTACTAGTTTTGGTTACTTTGGTGTTTTTTCTGCACTTTTCTTTGCTCGTTTGTTTTCTGTTGTTTGTAACTCCACGCGCGTTTGGTAGGCGCAATATTTTTTGGAAAATTTTTACGATCTTCAAAACGTTTCAAGTTTTAAAATTATGCGCTGAAAGTTTGACCATAAATCTCTGGGCGAAAACAGCTGCCATTTGCACTACCAAATGCTCCAAGTTTGCGCACAATTTTAGCTGCGAACGCACTTTTTGAATGTTTGTCGAGTGTGAATGATGAAAGAATGAAATGATTTTTCGTCTAATCACTGGCGTGCATTTTTGGTTCTCGTAGCACTTTGTTGGCGTTATTTTGTGTTTGTGTTCGTGTAGTAGGTCACGTGCCAAGATGGCCGCTGTGTGTGTATGGCTGGTAACGTATGATGCTGTGTTGCAGGCACCTACTTCAACTGCATTATGTTCATGGTGGCATCGTCGGTGGTGCTCACCGTCGTCGTGTTGAACTACCACCATCGAACAGCGGACATACATGAGATGCCGCAATGGGTGAGAGACCGTATTAATCATACTCGAGTTAACTCGGGACAGCACACGATCTTATCCGCCAGTGGACCCTTTGCTCGTCTGACCAGAAAGGGCACACAGCGGATGGTATAGGTCAGAAATCAAAGGCTAATTGATTTTCCTCGTTTCGTAGATAAAAACAGTGTTCCTGCAATGGCTGCCATGGTTCCTCGGCATGAGCCGACCGGGCAAGAAGATCACGCGCAAGACGATCATGATGAACAGCCGGATGAAGGAGCTGGAGCTGAAGGAGCGCTCTTCGAAGAGTTTGCTCGCGAACGTGCTGGACATCGACGATGACTTCCGCAACGTGTCCGGCGGTGGGAACAACGCATCGATGACGACCAGTTTGGGCGGCGCGTACGGCATGCGCCACCCGACTACCATCGAAGAGGCCGCGATGCCGGCGTCGGGCACGCAACGAGATCTCCAGCACATTCTGCGCGAGCTCCAGTTCATCACGAACCGCATGAAGAAGGCGGACGAGGAGGCGGAGGTGATCAGCGACTGGAAGTTTGCCGCGATGGTGGTGGACCGCTTTTGCCTCATCATATTCACGCTCTTCACCATCATCGCGACGGTGGCGGTGCTCCTGTCGGCGCCGCACATCATCGTCCAGTAGGGACGCGCCCAGCGTTGCCGCCGCCGCCGCCGCCGCCACCATCGTCGTCGCAGCCGCAGCCGCCGCACCCTCAGTACTATTAAATAGTAACGTATGTTCATATACGAAACCACCAGCAGACACACAACAAATGATTACCGCTCTAGATAGACTATTATAATATGTAACTAAAATAATGAACGTATACTGTGATACAAAGCAGCGCATCGCCGCCGTCGAGGGCGCGAGCGCGCGTGCGCATCGGCGCTCACGCATGCGCATGCGGGAGCGCTCCGTGCGGCGGCCACGTGGCAGAACGGCGCCGGAAGAGACGACCGGAAATGGCACATCGGAGGCGAGAGCGGCATTGGTATCGCTCAACTATATATCACCACTTTGACGTTCGCGTATAATCTCTAAGCAAAAAGCAAGTTAAAGAATTAATCCATGTACTCGTGGGTAGTAATGTATTGTGAAGCCAACCAACTCGAACAAAAAAAAAACAACCAGACGTAGCACACACACATCCGCCGCTGTCAAGATGGCGGAACACAAAAATGTCAACACATATATTACCGCGTCTACTATTATATAGCGTAAAGTAAGAGTAAAATCCTGCAAAAGAAGCAAACGTTGAGAGTACACACTCGCACACACTGCGCGTGCGCAACACACGTTATTGTAAACCACGTAAGCGATAAGCAAGAGTCAAAAGAAGCGTAACACACATATTTACATACCTAATCATTATCTAAGAGTAAGCAAAACGTACTTTTTGGTTTGCACACACGCGTGTTTGTTTTTCTGCTGAATGCAGAGAAGCACATACGAATGCGATGCAAACGACGTTATCGATTGCGTTGATTCCGTTTTTGATAAAAAAAAAACAACTCTGTAAGCTAACCAATTTCTAGACATAACGAATCGACCGCGCGGTAATGTACATTTGATAACACCGAATTTAAAATGAGAAATCAACCTTGTAAAGTTTAGTTTTTGATTGTCGCAACTTTTAAACCATGAACACTTTTAAACAAATGAGGAGCGCGGAGCCGCAATGCGCCGATATGCAATTGCACGGGAATGAACTTTATATATGAGAATTAAAACAATTTAATTGTAAAATACGAAATATTAAATGCGGAGCCCCGCATAGAGAAAACTATATTGAAGATAAACAAATTGTATAAATGATTATAACACTGCGATTATAAGCTGATGAATACGTTTTAAATGAGATGAAAAAATGTAAAGCGTCTTAGACGCACAGAATATTTTATACGGAAGACAAATCCAAAACATTATGATAAAAAAGGGCGCTCGCGTGCCGCGGCGGAGACGACGGCGCGGTACACCCCCGTTGTTAAACGCACGACGCCGCCGCCGTCCACCAAAGGCCGGCGACGGCGCCCAAACATTATATTGCTCAGGCCGCGCCGCCATTCATCCGCGCGCGTCTCGCGGCGAATAAAAGCCAAAAAAATAAATGAAAAAGTTTTAAAAAGATATTATGAAAGTACCCTCTCCCGGGGAGGGCGGCGCATGCGTCGCATGACTTACTGCGGTGCTCTCAGCGCGTCGCGCACGCGCACTCTCTTATATAACATGAATACACCACAATTGCTCACGAATATTTTTGTTACACAAAGAGATGATAAAAAACGACTTAAACTGTATAAACTACGAGTAAGTGTATAAAATATGTCAGATTATAAATAATCACGTGATGATGGACGTTGGACGTTGCCGACTGCAGCGCGGGATGGTTACCAAACGAGCAGAAGTTAAACAAAAACCAAAAAACCAAGTAAACAAAGTATACTCACACATTGCGTCACACGAAAACCAACAAAAGGGTCGTCGTCTTCCTAAACAAGAAACAAACAAACAAAAAAAAAAAACTACTAATAATTAAACGTAACACGGTAACACGGTGAACATGAACCAGCCACAACAAGATGCAATCGCGAGCCGTAACTATAATTAAAATTAATACAAGGATCACTTGGATAATAAAATGATGCACTCGGTAACAAAACGCGCGCGCGCGAGGGTTTTTTATACGACGCACTGATGAAATCACATTATGTAAATTAAATAAATTTTAAACAAAAAAAGCAAAAACGGGAAATGAAAAGCATTCGGTATATATTTGTATGTGACGCTTGATTTTTGTACAAAATGTCCGTTCGTGTCTTTCCGTTCGAGCCAATTTGAATGTTCCACGCACATTTTTATACAATACGTACTAATTAAAAGTTTAACGACGAGCTAAACTCAAGCAAACATACAATTCCAATGAAGAGATGATTCTTCGACCGCACACGACCGCGTAGCAACAACAATATTCGCGCACGTAACTCTTAGCGTAGTTTGCATAAGTTTTCACTTTCTTACTCGTCGCGTATAAACTACGATTCGTAAAAAAATGACTAAAACTAAAAAAATAAAACTGAAATTAAAACGATGCCAAGCGCGTAAACTCATGCCACATTTGTACACAATGTAGATATACTCGTATTAAATACTATATTGACTCGAGACATTAATAAAAAACTGAAAAACTCAAGTGATGTAAAGATGCGATTTTTAAACAACAGACTTTTAAACAAACGAAACGAATTAAATCATTAATCCACATTGTACGAACCTAAAACCTGTATTATAAAGCGATTTTTTAATTAAGATATGATGATAAATGTGAACAAATGTTGAATAACTGCGAAACACACATATTGTATAAATGAATCAACATGATGACACACATTGAATTGCGTGCGCGACGTGCAGATGAGAGATCGATGAGTGCACACGACGTGTGACCGCCCTCCTGCATTTTATATCATGTACCATTTTTAATATAATATTTAAGAGGATAAATTGTAATAATAAAACTGTACGATAAACACAACACACACACACGCAGACAGACACCGAGGAAGACACGATGTAAACTTCGAATTTTTCATCATTATTGCTATATGACTAAAAGATTTCTACTTAATTCTTAATCGTATCACTGCGACTAGTATGCGACTAAACGTACAATTAACAATAAACCAAGAATCTATTATTTGGAATGATAAACAATGAGAAATTATAAAATGACGGAGTTCATAGGTTTGTCGCGTACAACTTCAATTATTACAACTTGTTGCAAACAAACGAATAACGCACACTCGATTACTTATCATTTTGACTTCACACCCACTTCGCCCTCAACAAGCAGAACACATTCTCATCACGTAATAATTTTTGAGAACGTCATGTGTGTGAATCCGTATCGAGCGCGTGTGTAGAATCTTAGCATCCGCCAAAAATAAAACAAAACAAAAAAACTAACACTGATAAAACACTGCAAATCGTCGAATTATACCCTAAACGTAGGCGAAACTAAACCAGCAGAATCATTAAATCGTAAGAGTACTTAAAAATGAAACAAATGAAACTAAAAACAGGAACTGATATAGAAATATGATATTGTACTATGTACAACCATATGTAACGTATGCAAATGCAATTCATTCCTTGTTTTGTTTTTTATTGTATTTGTAGTGGTATCGAGTTGATTTCGAAAAGAAAGTTTTATTCAGACGATTCTCGATTTGCTTGAGAGCTTTCAAGGCGCGATTTTTAATTTGTATCGCTGTCTCAACGCTGTGCGCTGCTAGGAAACGATTTAACGCTCTTTAGTTGAAAACGATAACCAAACAGACTTAAAAAACGAGCTAAACTGATACTGAAACGTAAAACGGTGTATTTAAACAAATGTCCACTCTTTTATCAAAGATTAATCATTAATGACAACTCTATCTATAGAAAATACATTATAACGTTAGTCAAATTGCTGAAAAAAAGATGTGTAGCCAAAAATACAAAAAAATATTTAGATTGATCAGCGTATCACCATGATAATGACGATGGCCGGCGAAGACGGAAGATGGCGAGGAAGGAAAACTATCTAATGCTAGGAAGATATTATAATGTTTGCTCCCACCCCAAAAAGATGCTCCTTACCCATAAGCGAAATAAAATGCTCACACTCTTTATAGCAAAAAAACATCTTCTTGAAAATTGCTTCGTTGAGATATCTACCGCTAGACATAGAGTCTATATTATAATCTATTGTTAAACTATGTTGTACTTTGATATTTTGCTACATGATTTTATATATCGATTATATATCTGTTATTGCGGGTATGAGTTGCGTTACGCTGCCGTAAGTTTTTCACTTGTTCTGATTGAAAACGCAACGTTTCATTGCGCCACAACGTGAAAACGACGATAACGACAAGGAGCAATATTTCAGCGTTGGGAAAATCACAATGTTATCATCTTTGCGAGATGTGCTCAATATTTTTTCACAACAGCGCCGTCAATAATAACTGATTCGATGTGTTGGTTTTATTCATTTTTCGGGAGCGCTCGGGAGCCCCCGCTGGTAAATGCATTCACAAACAAACGCTGTGGTTCACTGTCGACGCGTATACTGTTATCAATTGAGAAGTTTTTATTCGTTTCGTAAAACATGGAGATATTTCTACGTTTTGTTAATGCTCGTTTTACATTATCTACGATGCTGGTATAAATAGATGAGTTATGTGAATAAATGTAAACGTATGGTTGAAAACAATAAACGCAGAATTCAGTTTTTATTTGCTTTCTTTACATACTATCCAAGATCTTTTATTGTATCTTTTTATTAGTGGAATTTCCAAGTCTCAAAACCTTCAAGAAATGCATTCACGTGCTCCTTTTTGTGAGTATTTCTATAAGTTGCCATGTAAAACACCCTCTAATTGTACTAACAAAACAATTTTGATTCCCTAATAGTTTTTTTATAAATTAGAAAGACATTTTATAAGCAGATTACAATCACGACCCGTTAAAACGTCTGGAAATGCCCCAAAATTCACGTTAAAAATTGCCTATTTTTTATTTCAAAAAGTTGCCATGAAAAGTATTCAATATTTCCGGAACTAATTCAGCAATTTAGGCCATCTCATCGTCTTGTAATAGCTAAAGACTTCCTTTGTAAGATGAGTATCCTTCCGACCTTCTGAGCCCTCCGAAAGTGCCCCAAAATGGCCGTGAAAATTTAATTTTTTTGAAAAATTTCAAATAATTTATGCTATTTTTTGTACGCATAAAACAAACACACAATGGTTTCTGTTACTCTTGCAAGATATTGAAAAACCTTAAATTGCTTATGCCTTACACCCTTAGTAGTTTATACAGAAGTATTGATTTACAATAATGTAGTGAACTTCAATTAGGAGTGTAGTTGGTTGCCTATAGTCGCAGAGTTTTCATTGCTTTATGCAGGACTAAAACAATGTTTTAGTTTTTACTTAAATAAATATTGTAATACTCACTAAAATACATCCACAGAATAATTAAAAAATTAATATAATTTCAATTAAAATATATCAAATGTCTTTTAAATTTTCACCTCTTCTAAATAAGACTAATTGTTAATAATTTAGAGAATGCATAATTTGACTATATTGCGAGTTAATTTTCAATATAATCTTCAATTTGACTTTGGTAATTAAAATAAAACTAGTTTCTCTCTTCTGCCTAACAAAAAAGAGGAAATGTAATTGGAACAATATAATAAAACATGCATCTTTTCCCAAAAGCACACAAGAACAAAAAAAAACGTCCGACTTGCAAAAGTAGTAAAAATGTTAGCCACTTTCCAGTAAGCTGTTGAATTATCTGGCAGCTATAAATAAAATGTGCTCCACGACGCGTCACCCTTATGCACTCACTCGACGCGCCGCTCAACGAAAGAAAACCCGACGAGGGTAGCGCAGCGTCGCGACGCCTCCAATTCCAGCAACGCAACACGCGAACCAATCGCACGCCAACGTCGCTCCTATAAAGGGTTGGCCAAATCATCCCTTACACCAATCACAACCACCAAAAACTACCCGTAGCCATGGCGACTTCGACACACAGATAACTCTCTACTCTGGCGCGGATCGCTATCGTTTCGCATCGAAAGTAAGTTGCGTGAGTTACTGTGAGTCGCTGATACTGATATTGCGTTATCGCCGCTGAAATGCTGTTTGCTGAAGTGCGACCGAATTGAGACATCAAAGACGGGCCTCATCTGTGCAATCTCAGCAATCAGTGCGTGCGGCATCCGAGGTTCAGTAATGACCGGAAGTGATATCCAAACCAATTCGTTGCAATAAAACTAACCCAGTGCAATTGTGATTGAACCTACCAAGTGAAATTCGGATATTCGGTGCAAACATGGAAAAACTCACTCAATTCGTGTCGAAATCATTCTGCATGGAAAACAACAATAGTTTAGGAAGTATACTCTCGGAAACGCCAGGACATCTTCCGGAAAACACTATCAAAAGTGAGGATTTATCTGAGTCCATCGCCACCACACCTCAATTGACCAATCTGCCGGAAATCAAAACTGATTCAACTCTTTCCGAAAAAGTTGATAAACCATTGGCGACTAAACCAGCCGCAAAGAACTGGTTGATATCAAACGACCCAGTGGTGCCAAAAACAATGACGACCTCGCATGGAATAGATCTTAGTCTTAATCATCACGCAAATGTAATCTACACCTCAAGTTTAATCCTGAATCAAACCAGATTCGAGCCGTTAATCTTGGCTGGAAGCGGAGGAGGAAGTGTGCACAGCCAAAATTTACCAAAACATGAAAACGGAAAAATTTGGTTTGATGTTGAACGCATGAAAAGTTCTCCGCCGCCGTCGGCAAACTCTCCAACAGGCGAAACAAAAACAGTTTTCGATCAGGTTCCTCCAGTCCGATTGATCTAGAAGATTCTAAATCATGTCCGGAAGTAGACAAACAGGAAAACGATGCAGAATCAGAAAAACAAGAGAATTCCACAAACAATGCGACGGAAAACGATAAGAAAATATGTAAGTATGTTTTAAATAACAAAACCAAATGAATATCTTTGCCAAAATTTCACGCACCATTAAAATCCACGCGTTAAATGTCCCATAACTTGGCAGTAGACATTATATAACACTGCTGGTGCACTGCTGAAGTTTCCCAGTCATAACGACAGTTAATTTGCAAGTTATAGCCGAGCGCAGAACAAAGTAAGTGTATCAATAATGGCGCCAGATAAGAAACGCGAGTTTTGCTACATGCGCCAAGCAAGCCTCACGGGACAAACAATTACCTTAATTATTTTCTTAATTACGCACGCCCCTTCTCTGGTGAGCTCAGGTATATGCTGACGGTTTAACCCCTTGTTGTTGCTCACTAAGTTTGTCGCAAAGACGCCACGCTAAGAAGAGCCCCGGACGAAATGTAATTAATTAACACGGGAGATGTGCGCGTCGTGATTAAGAAGGGATAAAGAACTCTTTTAAGTAATTAGAAAATTAGAAGCGCACAAAAACCAGCAGCGTCAAATCTTTAAGCAATTCATTACAATAAAATAAAACTAGACGAATGCAGAAATGTGTTTTTAAAGTTCATTTTGTAGATTATGCAGTCAAGTGTGAGCTGAGTCGTTGAGTAATGAAAATAATCCAAATTCAATAGCAGTAATTGATTGATATGGCGTGGGTTTGCACGTAAACGCGGACCTGTCCCGCCCGTGACAAAACAAACTGCCGTGCGAAACGGCGCGAGGGTTGTGCGCCCATCCCTTTGCTCGTTCGGCGCCGCCGCGCGCGTCGGATTGATTGAAGCATCCCCGAGGGACGAATTAGTCGGGACGTAAGTGAAGTGAATTGTGTATATTAAATAATAGCGTTTCCTGCCACTCCAGCCAAAATAAACCAACAAGTTTCACTTAAATCCGTGCACTTTAAATAAGAATTTAGTAAAAACTTTATTGAAACAACGATTTATTTACCTTTTTGTTGCTGATGTAGGTGTTTTAGTTATTTCTCCAGTTTGTTGACATGTTTCCTTAAGAGCATAAGTCATTGTACTTTTGGTCATTTATTCTTATTAGGTGTGAAAGCGAAACATGAGATATTTATACTTTTATAGCAGTGTTATTGCTGATATGAATATTAAGAACTGTACCAATTTGTTGTCGTATTGATTACGTGTTGAATTTTGTGCTGATTTCGATTACGCCGTCGCCGCCTCTCGGCCGCCCACCGCCGGCGTTCAGCACTCGCCGATAATTGCCGTAATCGATAAAGCGTCGGCCGCACTGATTGGAACGCGGCGTTGCCGCCCGCAATTCTACAATCGGCATCGGGCCAGCATATTCGTACTGCGTCACTCGCCATTAAAACAATGTCACTTTTGTTCGTTGAAAAAATGTTTTAATATCAATATAAGCAAATCACACATACCGAGTTGAATTCCGCTAACTTGCAAATGAATTAATTCCGAAGCGTTCCCCAGCGAGTGCAAATGTTTGCTTCTGATCAAAGTCTCAGTGGATGAGGATATAGCACGCGGTGCAATCGTGCAACGAATCATGACGTCGCACATTATCGAATTAACATCGATTTGTATCGCGTCCGAATTTCGCCCGGAATCGCCCAGTTTCCAAAAATGTCTGATGATGAAAATATCCCACAATTGTTTCGCAGTGACGCGCGCATGGAATGCGAAACGGTTTTTAACGCGTTAAAGTTAAGCAATAAACAAAAGTTTCGCTCCAGATTTGCATCTTTTTCGCATCAACGAGTTTCGCAACGAATGCAAATCGTATTCAAATTGCGGCGTAAAGAAACAACAGCCCGGCAACGTTTTGTTTTGTGTGATTTTACGACCGAATCATTTATTATCAACATTTCTAAGCCAAGAAACACAATTTTGCTGCTACTCTTTACGCGTTTTGATTTGATTTCGAAAGATTTGATTTGAATATTGAGTATGAACACGTAGTTGTAAATAAAATCGACGATCGCAAAGTCAAACGAACTAAAAATCAAACTTATCGTTTCAAACAATAGCGGCGCGCCCGACAAATGCAAACATGGCGACAAGGGACGCCTTAATCTTATTACGTCTGCCGTCGGAGCATAAGCAAATCGAAACTTGCATTCGACTATTCAACAAAACGTGCTTCGTTGATTTTTACATTTGTCAGTAAACACAATATGCACAAACATAAAACAGACAAAATCTAACCTTTAAAAATTACATTTTTAGGTTAAACAACTCTCACATAACCAAAACTAAGACAAGATATAATCTAAACATCCAATGGGATTACCACATATCCATGCATATTCGATCCGATATTAATAAGACAATAAATCAGCGGCCGGCAAGCCAGGGATGTTTTTAATCGAATTAATGCGGCTTCCCGACTCGCGCGCGCGTCGTAATCAAATGCAAATGTCGTCGCCGGCGCGTAAATTCGATTTAAATCCAGGGGGGCATAATTTAAGCGACGACATGCGCGTCCCACACACACACACAGCTTTATACGCAAACAAATTCAAGTCTAGCCTAGCCGAATCCCAAGGAATAAAGTGCTGGTAGTCAATTGAAAAGCCAGCGAGTAATATCAAGCGTGTAAATCCACTATCACAAGGGTAAAACCTGCAAACTGTTTCATTATGAATGTACAAATTACAGTCCAGTTGCACATATGGCATTATAGCATCATTTCAGAGGGTTGCAAAAGGGGAAGGTAAGTTTAACACCACCAGTCTCGCTAATAATGCGACGGATTACCACTCGTACCCCTTGAATAACTTGTACATGCACACTCAATTAGCGTAATTTGATTACGAGTGACGAAAGACAATATTTATAAGGATAATGTTTTAGTTGCAGTCGATGGTGAGCATTCCTTTGACGACGACCGAATAAAATCCAGACATTCCTCGGCGGCGTTGAGTATTTCCGTGAGTAAATCAGCAAAGCAACGACGTTCCCGTACGAATTTCACCCTGGATCAACTGAATGAACTTGAGCGCCTCTTCGACGAAACACACTATCCGGATGCGTTCATGCGCGAAGAACTTAGTCAACGCCTGGGATTAAGCGAAGCGCGCGTACAGGTAATTTCAAGAGGGTGTAGTTCAAGGAGTAAATAATGCAGATATTAAAAATTATTGCCGGGTGAAACGCGCAAATGAAACGAAAAAAGAAAACAAGAATTGCGTGCGTACGAAGCGGGGGTGAACGCGGAGATAAAAAATAATCGCTGGAGGGTTGCCGGCATTTTTATTTTATGAACGCACATATTTCATGATCCTTAAATGCGCAAATCATAATAAAACAACACGAATACTGGAAATGGCTATAAAGAAATGAATAAATGACCATTTCGGACATTACGAAATAGGGTTGGCAATACATATATTCAATTCAATTATCATATTATCGTCGCATTACGCGTGAAATACGGCCGTGAATTAAATAATATTTTGGAAAGAAACGCGTAGAGAAGGAAAAATAGAAATGAATGTCCCAAAGTGGCTGCAATTACATCTCTGCAAGGGTGAAGTGAAGTGTGATTAATGACTTTATTCCATTTTCTTGTTTTTGTTGCAGGTTTGGTTCCAAAATCGACGCGCAAAATGTAGAAAACACGAGAGTCAACTACAGAAAGGTACACAAAACAGCGCAATACTCGTATAAATCTAGTTAAGCGTATAATATGATCGCAGCGAATAAAATTTAATTAAACAGTAGTTAAAATTTAAACCCCGCGACTATGAAGCAGTTATGTTGCATTGTTCATGGTTAGCGGGCGGCACATAAATTCAACTTAGAGCATTAAACTATTTAGAAGACGGTACGTAATTTGTTAGAGAAATGATCTTTAGACCGAGCGGGCTCCGCTCGGCGCTCGCCTACCCTCATAATTTTAACTGCAATGAATATATCATGCGGCTGCACGAAGGCGGGTGAGGCGGCCGTCGAGCGCCGCCCCCTCCAAACGCCGGGCATAACAAATCTGCGGCGAATAATCGAGTTTATATGTGTAATGTAAGAGAGTGGAGGCGCGCTTAAAAAAATCCACTCGGCGAAAAAAGTTTTCAATCAAATCAAATAATTCCCCGCGGGAGCAATTTTACGCCGCTCAGTCATTCAGGAGCGGGTGGTGTGAGAGGGCAGCGAGGGGCAGAGCGTCTCGACGCGCACTCTGGGGGACACTAAATTACACTTAGCGCTTGCCCCGGAACATCAACACACCCCGTATTGGTCTGACCCTGCGACAAAGATTTTTAAATACGAAAAATTTTATGTTTTGCAGGAATGATGTTGAACAATCACAGCCCGCCGGCCAGTACACCCTTAGAACCATGTCGGGTGGTGCCCTACATGAATATGCCGGCGTTGCGAGGAATTTCACTTCCTAGTGGTGCGGTAGCACTGTCGGCCTATGACCGCCTCTCGGCCCTGGCACCTTTTCCACCCGCAGCCGGTACACCATTCTCCGCGTTCGATTCAGCGTTTATTTCGGCTGCTCATCAAGTAAATATTTATTAAAACTATAAAGGTAAAAATAATTGAATTAAAATTTTTGTTTGTTTTCAGTATGCTGCTGCGGCTGTGTCAGTAGGCGGTGGTTCAGCGGCAGCGGCGAGTATCATCTGCCATCCGCAATACCCGCTCGGGTTGGCGGCGTTGGCGGCGGCGCACAAGAACTCTAGTATTGCCGACCTCCGCCTCAAAGCGCGCAAACACGCCGAGGCGCTTGGTTTAACCGCTCCACGCGAAAAATCATAATCTTCAAACTCAAAATCAACTAATTAACTATCGAAATGTTCAATCCTCCAACACATTATTTATTTATTTATGCTCCACACAATTAATTGTATTGTATTATAATGTAAATTTAAAACATTTGAAGTGAACGAAAATTGTAAACGAAACTTGATTTATGTTCTGAACTTTATGTTCAGCAATAACTATGATTTTAATATTTTGTGTGGTTTTGAGCTCGCTGCAAAACCAAGCAGCAGGAGCAGAAAAGTAGGAAGCGTTTAATTTGCGCAACAATTTTTCGTTCGACCAGAAAGGTAATAAGAAGGTCGAGGCGTGCCCGCCGGTGTCAGTTACACGATCTTTAGATATTCATGTTTCTAACTAACAATTTATAGTTAAACTTTTGTTTTACAAGCAGTGTACTTTGCATTTGCAATACGGAATCACTTAAAAAAAAACACTAAAAACAAAGAAACTTGTTTTCTTTTATTATATTTTTAATCCCAAATATAAATATTAGCAGTTTAATAATTCATTTCGTTAATGACACCGTTTAATTTCGAATAAAACGAAATTTTATGCGAATTTCGTGCGTTTTGTGTTTGATTAATACTCTAATAAGCCTAAATTTGGCCGATTCCTTGCAGTCGACATGAAAAGAAGGCGCTCATCGCTCCCAAGAGCGCACGAAATTGAATTTACGATCGGATTTTATGCCGACCAGAGAGTTTACTGCCGCTTTATTATAACGACTAAGCGCCTAAAATATTCACAGGCAACGCACACCGCATTGATTACAATTTACAAAACATTATTTGCTGCAAAATTAATTAATTAAAAAATATGAAATTAAATCAAAACCTACACAATTATTCTGTAAATAAACTCAATGTATATTTTAATTAAATCTTAAAATACGTATAATGAGTGTAGCTGACATAAATACGAATACTAATAACGATTATATGAAATTTATCGAATAAAATTGATTTGATTATAGTTGTCTTATTCTGATCACGCTCATATTTCTCAATTACGTCGTGTTGTGGTAGTTTTGCGTTGATGCCTGTCTCAGAGTCGTCAGCGAAGTGACTTGCATCGGATGTGACGTCATGCGCGTCTTTTTTTGCGGTGCACTGGTGAAAAATGACGCTGTGCGTCGGGCATGAATCAAAACGCCAATGCGCCCGACTGTCACTGACAATTACGCGTCGTTCTCGCGCTGATTGGATCTAATTTGATTAGTGGCTTCGTGTAAACGCAGTTTACAAACAAGGGGACGCTGCCAGCTACAAACGAATGAAGAGGGAATACAATCACAGCGGAAATATAGGGTGGCAATTCTTTAAACAGTTAAATGCATAAGGGGTTGCATATTTTTGACCGTTTAGATTTTTCGTAATAATATTAAGTAATTATATTGAATTTATAAGATTTTTTGGTTTATTTTTGGACATTTTGAGGGTAAAACAGGGCTAATTGATTCGATCGATTGTAAACGATGTCCTAATCGTAATTTATTGCCAATTACGTGAAAACTAAGTGCGTCCACTTCGTAGTGGTATCACTAAATTCTAATCGAATTCGAATTCTCAGACGCTCATTCGGAAAGTGGCTGTGTGACACATCGTAGACGCAATTGGCATTCAGTGCTTAGATTCAGTAATTAGAATTTATCTCCCGATACTAACGAAATAAACAATTCAAAAAATGAAATTTATGATTGGCGTTTATTGGAATTTAAAGTATTATTATCAAAACCTACGGAGATAAAAAAGTTAATGATGAATTTGAAGATGCAAAGCAAAAGATGCAGATAAAAATTTTCGAAGATTGTAAGATAGCTCGGTTGACTAATGACGACTCATCGCGACATGGCGTGGACACAAAGGAGAACGCACTGCGAGGATATTTCGAGAACGACATTCGTTACATTTCGAGCATTCCATTCGATGAGTATCGTTCAAGAAATATCTCTTCAGCTTCAGGTGCTTCGATCATCATAATTCCTCAACAAAATACAAACTTGCTTTCAATCGTTGGAGAATTTTTGGTCTTAAATTTTCCAAGCGTGCCTATAGTTGGAAATAGTAGATAATCATAAATACAAAAACTAATTTCAAGAGGAGACTACGATGAGTACGACGCTCAGCTATCGTCGTGGTTATTATTATTGTCACGGCGTCGCAAAAAGCCTGCCCGCAAGCCACACGTACACAAACATATTATACTTAAGTATATAGAAATAGAAAACTATGAAATTGTATTTTATTGCAGACAACTAAAGTACCAACAACAGAAAATGTAAAATATCCAGAGTTGTATTAATAATAAAAATAAATTTTATCATAATTTTTTTATTTTCTGTTGCTGTTAAGTTTAGTACTTATAGTTAGTTATATTGAGACTTCTCTTTTCGGCTCGCACGCTCTTTTGTTCGATTCTCTCCTTCTCTACGCTTAGAGTTCTTCAGTTCTCTCTTCGTGAGGGTCTGACTGTCGCTTTCTGATCGTCGAAGCGTCTCTCTCGCGCCTCTTGTTCACCTGGGCTGAGCAGCGTACACCTGGTGAGCACCGCGACATACCAAAGCAAACGTTGAGGCCGTAGCGGCTGCGAAGAGGGAGAGGTCGACTTAAGTCTTCAGTCGAGTTGAGTCAGTCCACGACGCGCAACGCGCTTTGCGCAACGCAAGCTCCGGAGCTTTTTGGATACCGTTACGAAAAATATCGTGAATATTGTTTATTTTCATCAAGTTAATCATAAACCATTGAAAATACTTTAAAAAGGTTTATTATTAAAGTGCCATGGATTTATTAACAATAGTTGATCAAAGTGATTGTGAGCAAATGGCTTAAGTCATGGATGCGCGCGTATATTATCACAAATGACAAAAGTAAGTAACTTTAAAGCACGCGAAGATTGAAGAAGAGTTATGCTTGGCATGTGAAGTTTGTTTAGTCGGTTAATGTGAGTTGAGTCAAGTTGACTCAAGTGGTGTCAAATCAAACAAGTGCTGGAATTATTGGGATGTTATAAAATATTAAAACGCTGCGAGATATGTTAGGTTAGAGACGAGCACGACGTCAATTGGTCGTCGACCTTCCGCGCAGCGTGCGCTGGCCGAGACTCGACTCGCCCGCCGGGGCCCGACTTCCACGAGGAGGAGAGGATGCGCGTCGAGCTTAAGAAGTTTAATCCCTCCGCATGCGCTGACGAATTAGACTTTGGCACGAACGTGCAATTTTCAAATTGATTTCGTTCACATCGCGCAATAATTTATGAACGCATTTCGAATGATTGAAAGTTAACGTGTGTTTTTTGTTATGTTTTTGTACTCTTGGAGATAATTAGAAGAGGGACAAATTGTAAGTTGGTAGCGGATGCGCAAGATTCGCTGCTTGACGTTAATTCGCCGCGGTCACGTCAACCGCTTGGCGCGCGCATCGAGATTAAATAAGATTAAGCACCTAATCGTTTAATTGGTGGACGAATCATCGAAGCGAGTGAATAATTCATGAGTTCGTTAGCATCGTATTCACGAAAGAATGCGAGCGCTCGCAAAACAATTTACCAACTCGAGAAATTAGGCGGTGAGGAATTCGACGAATTTATGAATAGAAAAACGACTCAAATCTTTGCCAATTAGTTGAAAATATTACCTAATAGTTGTATTCTTTTTAAATTTATCGATGATTATACGTTAATTTGCTTCTAATTGGGTATAAATAAATAAACATACTAAATCCCAGCGTTGTGGGACGTTTTTCGAAGCGCTTTCAAGAATAAACAACAAATAATAACAAAAAACGATTTCATCTCCGTGCAGCGAGTATTTCTTTTCACGGCTCGAGGCTCGCATGCATACCTCACATTTATGCCCCTCATTCTTTGCTTCTTCTTCGCGTGGATGTGGATGCACGTGGACGATACGGCATGTCCGAGAAGCGCTTCGAGCGGTCGACGCCGACGAGGCCGCGAAGAAGCCGAAGAAGAGTTGCTATCGCGCTGTGCGCGACTCGCGCGTCGGCGATACGCTCCGGGTGCTTCCATCGTCTGCACATCGCTTCCATCGCTTCTTCGTTCCCCGAGCGGACAGGAGATATCAAACGCAGATAGTCGAATTATTGTGATTATATAATTATATAACGTATATAACGCGTTTCGGAATTAAGCCGAGCGCGACTATTCAACAATGAAACGAAAAAAAGTTGAGAAATTTATCTTTTAAGTCAAAAGACTATTTTAATTAGAGCGCAATGCATTTATGCTCCGCCCAGGCACTTAGGAGTTATAAGTGTGCTGCGCATGCGCAATCAACATATGAAAAGAGCAAATTTTATTTTTTTGTGTTTAAAATCGTATTTTTTAAATAAAACAGTAAAAATTTCACTGAAAACAATATTTTTAAAAGCGAAAGTATTAAATTTGAGCTGCGCATGCGCTGTTTTCATGTAGGCGGAGCAAAAATCATAATTTTTGTTAAGAAATTCTATTTAGACGTAAATAACAAGTTTATAGCATTGAATTTGTGAAGAATTTTTTAATTTAAAATAGAATCGAGTAAATTACAGCCGGGACGCGTCACGTACGCGCAGTTTGTCATTTATTCTCGATTCAATATCTGTAATTTGTGGCGCGTCCTTAAGTAAATATATGAGATATGAGTCAATTTGTCACGGCGCAGCGCATACGAAATAAATAAATTCCCCATCTTAATGGACGCATTTTCTCGCCGCGTGAAGCCTTCGTCCGGACGACTGCGCCGTCGTCCTCTGCACTAAACGGTCGCGCATTTTTGTACATCGCACGATTGTCCGACTTCGTAGACCGCTGCGCGCTTTTTATTTATATTTCGAAAAAGTCGGATCACGCCGTGCGCTCCCAGGGCGACACTTGTGTTCGTTTAATTGAATGCGTTTTTAGAATTTCAATTTTCAACAATGCACGTATAATAAACTTACTTTATAGTACGAGTGCGTTGCGCATGCGTAGTAAAAGATGTGGGCGGAGCAAATGTGTAATTTTTGTCTAAAATTATGACGATTTGCATGTGTTAGCAATAATGAATCGCGGATTTGCAGCGCTTGGTGTTGAATCAAAAATGTTTATGATGATTACGGTCGGACGCCGATTGCGATTATGATTATTACGCTGGGAAATGTCGCTCTCTCGGCCGCGGCGCGCGCAACATATTAATTTGAAGCGATTGCAATTTGCAGGACGCGCGTTTGTCGCTCGTTTGACGGACGCCTGCGTCGCTTAATGCGCACGCCGTGTCTTCGCCGTGCGACCGCGAAGAACAGCGAATATAATATCGCCGTGCGTGTGTCCTTAAGTGCGCGCCGCGCCGGCGATGTATATATATTTTATATTATGGCTGCGCGTGCATGACGCGCCTCGCTCTGCGCCGCAACCGCTGAGAAGAGATATAAACGCGCGCGACTTTCACATTCGAGATTCGATGTTATTGAAAGGCGACTTCCAGTCGGCGAGCGAGACATGGCACATTCGTGCCAATGCAGAGTGCAGAGGCGTACTTGCAACAAATACATATTTCACTAAACACCGGCCGCCATAGTTATTACGCATGCGCACTAATCATATTATTCGCTTCTTGCGCGTTTCCAGCTTGAATTTCTACTTTTATTCGAAAAGTCTAGACAGATAGCCTTGTCTGTCATGTCGCCGATGTATTTTCCCGTAGTTGTCGTCTACGATTCAACAATTACAAGAAATAAACGCGAGACGCGCGAAAACTTGTCGCGCTTGTCGTGTTCTGCGCGCAACAGTCTCGATTTCGGTCTCGATTTTCTATCATTGCGAGACGTCGATGGCGCGCGCGGCTTTACGACGCCCGGGTTTATTATATTTCGCGGCGGAATGCAAACCTACATTTTATTATCCTTATACGCTCGCGCGCAACTCGTAGTCCTCGCTCTCGCAAGGCACGTGATGCAGCAACGCGCAAAATTGTAAATGCGCTCGCCGACTCACGGCGCAAATGTAAATGCTTCGTGTCGTGTCGCCTGCGTTGTTGCAACAATAACGCTAACAAGGTGAATGTACAACACAACCCGCGCTAAAACTACCACTAGCTGTTTATATAGCTCAAAAGTTAGGTTATACCATACAAATTTTGTTAACACCATTAATAATCGAATCGTAATAAACAAAACAATGCATGCAATGTATTATGCTACGCCCAAGACACTTAGGAGTTAAAAGTGTGTTGCGCATGCGTATTTAACATGTGTTAGGGTGAAATTGCTTTTTTTACGCCAAAAAGTATTAAATTATTAATTTAAATTTAATTAAGATTGCTCATGCGCAGTTGACATGTGGGCGGAGCAAATATCATAATTTTCCCTAAGAAAATCTATTAAAATGTAAACAACAAGCTTTTAGCTTTGAATTTGTGAAGAATTTGTTACATAAAAATAGAATTGAGTTTAATTAACTGAATTTTCAATGAAACCCATGGTAAAACTACCTACCACTATCTTTTTTACAGCACAAAAGTTAGGTTATGTCGTCAAAACTGTATAAAACTATGTTGGCGCCACGAAAATTGCCTAATAATCAACTCGTAACAAACAAAAAACTGGTATTCAACAATTAGAAATCTGAATCGAAGTTTTTTTCCTCGATTTGCATAATTCCAAGATCGAAAACATTAAAAACCGCACGAAAAATTAGTTTCGTTCGAAATTCCGCCGATTAAAAACTGTGTTGTTCATATTCCATGCTCTGAAGAACATGTCAAAACACAACGAAATTCACCAGCGTTAATCCCTAATCGAGCTCATTAAATTAACAGACACTGTAATTATGTTTATCGCTAACTGCGCGCATTGTGCGCGCGCGCTCCGAGCGCAAACCAGGTGGCTGGCGATCGCCGCCGACGATAAAAATATAGACGTCGAATAATAAACATGTAAGAGATGTACGCTGTAAGTACGAAAAAAAAATCATAAAAAAATATATAAGGCGCAGGAAATTATCGGACGGATTCTATCATAATTATACTAATTTTCAAACTGTTTAAAAGATGTGTTTATGCGCGATATATTTACTTATCGCGTTTATTAAATCAGATCGTAATCTTCTAGCATAAAAATGCGCGTTTTGAATAAGTTATTGGAGTGCGCTGATGTTATTTCGCACCCAGAGGGTTTAAAAATACCATAAACAATTAGTTTCAGGCAAAGTTTAAATCTGAAAGCACTTAAAACACATCAAATAAATAGTTGTGTTATCTTAATGCGTTCGTGTGAAGTTAATGTTAGGCAACACAATTTACATTAACGGCCATTTTGTTCGCGCGTCGCTTTTTCAACACACAGTATAGCCGATTGTGGATTTAAAGAGATTCGCGCGGACGCGATTTGAAATAACTGTGAATCGTCGCGCAGAATGCGCATTTTTCGCCGACGTGACTTCTTCGACGGAACAAGGAATTTGCACGATTACGAATGTATATTAGTGTCATACATTATCGGGCCCCGGCCCCGTCGTCGATCAGGCGCACGGGCACACGAACGCTCGCGCTTAATCTTTCTCCGATGGCATTTCGTGCCTTTCCTTGCTCTGCGAGTTATTGCAGTTGTGCGGAGACTTAATTCGAGACTCGCCGCTTATTCTAACGGCCAGCTGCCATTCAGCGCGGACTTTTCTAGCCGATGGCCTCATAATCAAATCATTACAAAAAAATTCAATCACAAAAACATCGAAAACAATAAATTGTTACCATTTTTACCACTTAGAAGATATATTTTAAACACACGCGAGTCAAAGATAAAGAAGTGAGGATCGAAAACCGGAAGCTATAAAGAGTAATCATGGGGTGGTGCCCGTGCTGCGGTAATAACAAGTAGCGATTGGAAACTAATAAAACGCGAGCGTAAAACGCCAACCGCTGCTCTTCTGATGATGACGGCGGAATGGCAGCGACGGCAGCAATGTGTGGTAACGATGAAAGCCAGTCTCCGGCGCGCACACATCCCGCGAAGAGATTTCAAGAAGAAGGACGCCGCGCAGCGCGCACAACCAAACATTACGGACGCAATTAATTAGGCACGCAGGTAGCACGGTGGCGAACGTGTAATTAATAAGTTTACAACGCTTCATTAATCAATTAGTGACGAAATCTAAGTGGATTTCTACATATTTACACTCACACTAGTCATACAAGTCATACACCTTAAGAATATCGCGGAGATTTTCGAAAAAAATCGAAGTAAAAAGCGTAATGCGTTTGAAACGAGCGATGCGCATGCCGTACGTTCCACAAATCTGCAGCATTACAGTTTAATTACTGCTAATTAACAAAATTAGTTCGCGTTAAATTTCCTACACAACAAAATACTTCTTAGAAATCAAGATATATAAGTTTTTCTTTAATTTTTTTTTTCAATTTTTTAGGTTTTTAACCTCAAAATTTTATGATTTTACAAGATAGTTAGGTTATATTTGTCACAACACCCTGTAAGTGCTTTAAAAATGTCACCGTAGATACAAAACAAGCAAAAAATGATAAAATGTGCAAAGAAACAAGTACTGAATGTTTTTCCCGAAAGAATTTCTTTGCGGACATGGGGATCCCAACGTTTTCTACATTTTTCCAGCGAAAAACACTTAGCGCAAGTCATGCGACGATTAATGCGCGCCGCTTATGGACGAAAACAACGGTTTCGTTTTATCTTTAAGCAATTTCTCTGGCATCTTAATGATTTCGTAATGTTCATTAAACTTTCAACATTGCCGTCACAATTGTCAGCGCCATATTGGATTATTTATTTATCTATGTGTTTCAGATTGAGTGATAAGATGAATAACACTTTGTTAGACCGCTTATCACCACGTCCTGCGTGTCCTTTGGTGCGTCTTGGTCGTACGACGCCATTGTTGGATAGTCAACAGCCATCGAGTTCCGGTTCACAAAATGACGACCCGGATGATTACTACATGCATAATCTCGACAAACGTAACCTTGAATTATACACGAGGAAAATCAATGATAGATTCTATGATTATAAAGAGACTTCGTTTCAAAGCACGACTACCACCACACAATCACAGGGTGGTAATCCTCGCAGTGGTGGTAAAAATTATTACAATCGTCCCGATGGTCCTTTGAATTCGTTATCGCTCAGCGCTGGTTTGGCTTACTGGGAGAGCTGCAAGAGCATGCAAAGTTCCGACTCTAGTCAAGAATGCTCTGAGTTCTTTGATGCGCGCATGCGTCATACTGGTAGACCAAAGAAACGCGAGAATTTCACCCCAAATTCCAAATCAAAAGGTGGTTTGACCTTGAGTAATGGAAATACAAATTTGAATGGGTCCCGTGTGAGTGGAAACAGTGACAGCGATTATCTGATGGACAGTTTTCTGAAACTAGGAAAGAATAGTCCTAGTTTAGACCAAGGATACCATACACTCGTTCCACCTAGTCCCGGTTGTTCCACTCCCAATATCTGGGACCGATGCGAAACTCAGCTGTACAGAGGGAAGTCACGTTTTCATGCAAGGAACAATTCATTTGATAGATTACAGGACGAATTGGTCATGAAAGTATTCTCTATGTTAAACAGTTACGAATTATCTATCTGTGCTAGAGTATGCAGGAGGTTTGATAGACTTGTATGGAAACCTGAATTGTGGAGGACTATAACTCTCGCAGGAGAGACCCTAAGTGGGGATAGAGCTGTTCGAGCAGTGTTGAGACAACTCTGTGGGCAGGGAACAACAGGTGCCTGTACCCAGGTAGAAAGGGTGCATATCACGGATGGTGCTAAGATTACAGATAAAGGAGTGACTCTACTTGCAAGGAGATGTCCAGAGATTACTCATTTGCAAATCACACAAACTGCTGGGGTTACTAATGCTTCTCTCAATGAGATTGTCAATAGATGTGGTAATTTGCAGCATTTAGATGTAACAGGTTAGTAGTATAGGTTATCTTTAGGTATTGTAATGGTTACTTATTTATTTTGTATGGTGTGTAGGATGTGTGCAAGTTACTTGTCTGATAAACATGATGGGACCTGATCCTCCAAAACGTCTTCAACTGCAATATCTAGACCTTACCGACTGTGCTACTCTACAGGACAATGGATTACGGATTATTGTGAGGAACTGTCCTCTACTGGCGTATCTATATTTGAGGAGATGTACGGATATTACAGGTAAATACAAATTGCACCAATGCTCAACCCCCACCACAATTTCTAGGTACTCGTAGCGCGTTTACCGCACACAAACAACAACATACACTCACGCCTTCCCCTATCACATTTCGCAGATATTCAAGGCCAGCATACAGGACACTCCGCGCCATTTCCCTTTAGAGTCTTGGTTCCGCTTGGAACGCGATCCCTCTACTTCTACCATTCCTTCACTCATGTTGCAATTGACTTATATTTATATCGCATTTTATATATTCCAGATGCTGGTCTTAAATTCGTCCCGTCATTTTGTTCTGGTCTACGGGAGCTTTCCGTCAGCGACTGCACAAACATCACAGATTTCGGCCTCTATGAGCTAGCCAAATTAGGTGCTACCCTCCGATACCTTAGTGTTGCAAAATGCGACCAAGTAAGCGATGCTGGTCTGAAAGTCGTCGCACGTCGGTGCTACAAACTGCGATATCTCAACGTGCGTGGCTGTGAAGCAGTTTCAGACGACGCCATTACAGTCCTCGCAAGGTCCTGCACCCGCTTACGTGCACTAGACATAGGTAAATGCGATGTGAGTGATGCCGGACTACGAGCACTTGCTGAAAGCTGTCCAAATCTAAAGAAACTAAGCCTTAGAAACTGTGATCTCGTCACGGATAGGGGCGTACAAGCAATTGCGTATTACTGTAGAGGTTTACAACAATTAAACATTCAGGACTGTCAAATTTCATTGGATGGTTATCGTGCCGTCAAGAAATACTGCAAACGATGCATAATTGAACATACAAATCCCGGATTCTTTTAGCACAGCTTGCGAAATTGTTCGTATTGGTGGTTATTAAGATTTGCCATGTTGTTTTCGTATTTATTCTGTAAATAACTGTATATTAATTATTGTGCATATTATTAAATAGGAATAATGACATAAAAGCAATTATATATTTTATGCCTTGCCTTAATTTTTTTCACGCACCTTCATAACCTCAAACGGACGCTGTTAAAGGTTCATCACGTGGAAAAATGATTGAACATTACTTCGTTAATAAATACTTTAATGATCAGGCTTAAAATGAAGAAGTTTACCACAACAGTTAGTCAATTTTCATATTTCATGCGTGAATTATCAAAATACAAGGTTCCATCGTTAAATATTTCACCGTTATCTCATTAATCTCGCCGAGTTTATCTTATTCTAGAAAATATACAAATATTATGTACTTAAACATGTACATTGCGAATTTACAAGAATATCTATCGTGTTTAGTCATCAAATCAAACGAAACCCCTGTGGGAAATCATTTGTTTTAGGTTTTCTAGATAAACGTTTATTTTTTTTTTGTTTTGTTTTTCAAACGTGTGTTGAGGTATAATGTATTTGCACATGATTTAGCTGGCGCTCGCGTCATTTGTTTTCCTATACAAGGTATTTTTCTAATCGTACATAATTAACCTACGCTACTAATTGTTCTATGTGATAAGAGTATAAAATAGGAGGAAAAAATCGAAAGGAATAAAATTTATAGTAATACTTAAAGTCTCTGTGGAATGATATCACTTTACAGACGGATAAAACTTTAAAAGCTTTGAATAAATACAATAATGAGTAGCACAAATGAAAAGATAAATAAAATAAATTGCACTTCTAGAAAATTAAAAATAAAGTTAAACGCAAATAATTTCATTTGATTTTAAGTACAATTACTTACTGCATAGATGAATTGGTATAAACCAACTCAACTAAAACTTTGTGCAGAAATATTTTTAAAATGCAGCACCGGTGGAAATAAAAAGTTAAAAATCCAAGTTTTGAACAAATTCTGGACTGGAATCGAAAATTGCAAAAGCTACGATGAAAACAAAAGCAAATTTCCTAACTTTGACCCAATCTCATTGAGATTACAACAACGTCAACGGCGTCACCTCCTGCCCGTCAATATCAATCAACTCATTCGAGGAAGAACTGAGCGACAGCGGATGTGTTGTATCCGACATTGACTCATCCGAAGCTGTAGATCCGTTCGCTTCGCTTTTCTCCTCAATTTGCATCATACTCCCAGCGCCCAAAGGGACCACAAACACGGTTATGTCATCCATGGATGCCGTGGATTGATTCTTGAGCAGCCACATCCCCGACGCATTGTCGCGTTTGCCTCGCGCGTTGCCAACCAATGACAAAGCCGTATAAACATGCGCATTGCGTGCATCAACCGAGTGATTCTCACGTTGTTGTTTACACACAGCTAGCACATCGTTTACGTCCATGGCGTCCCACATTCCATCACTACCCATGACAAAGACGGCGTCATCTTCCAGTTCAGCCAGTGAATGGACTTTTACTTCGGGTACACAGGAAAGTAAAGGTTTTATGGGGAGTTTACAAAGATTTGCGGTTAGGTCAAAATCGCCAAAACCTCTCGCCACGCCAATCGTGCCCATTATTCGACTACGTCTGCCTACACCCATTACAAGCGGTAAAAGTAAGTCTTCAGATGTTAGTGTCTTCAGTGACCATCCAGACATGTAAGGATCTTTGTACAGAACATTTTTACCTAGGTCGTGTTTTCCTGGCTTCTCTAGGAATTCTCGAACTGTGTAAAAATCGCCTAACAACGCGGTATTTGAAGCTGCCGTCTCGTAGATTCTGGTTTTATCGTAGTATGGAGAAAAATCATTGCTCATTGGAACAAAAGTGTCGCCATTGACAATTCCAGCACGGCAATCGCCAGCGTTGGCGACGTACAAGTCTCCTGAGATTATCAATGCAACGAGAGCAGTGCACCCGCCTGGATTGTAATAGTTGTACCTACTTTCCTTGATCACTTCGTCCATTTCACAGAAAGAGGTTTCCAAGCAGCCGATGATTAAATCTCGTACGCTGACGGTTTTTTTGTTGGGGTCATTGATGTACTTCGAGGTGTTTTCAATGTTGATGGCGGCAAGGATGTAATCTTGAGCGTCTACTAATTTTTGCTGCATAAACATGAAATTTCTTAATAAATAACACAAATTTCACAAGAAATTGTTGATTTCTGAAGTAATCATCTACAATTTTCAGTGGAAATTGGTTTAAAATGTCAACTTACATGTAAAATATGATGTAATTGTTTGCTGGCATCCAAGGCAGCTCCAAACCCAGCATGCCCATCAAATATTGCATAGTATGAATAGTGTAGGTCATCTTTTCCTTGTGACTTCTCACACCTTAGTGTGCCTTTATACACTTGAGCCATATCCTCATTATAAGTTGATTTTCCAGCATTGATACATTCTGCATAAGCTGCATTGTTCTCCAGTGAGTTTTGAGCCCCACTTGTTGACAAAATCAACCGGACTTTCTTATCCTTAGCAACTGATAGAGCCTCATTTGATGTGTGCAGAAACGCAGGACGAGAATATTCATGTTTATGTGGTAGATGATTGGTGCCTTGAATCATCGGTTGTATGTGTACATTGCAAGCATCTTCGAAGCCTTCCACCGCCCCAGAAACCACTTTTTTGAGTCTGTTGAACATTGTTTAGGGTTAACTACGACGAATTTTGTCTCGCTGCGCGCGATTTGGATTGGAAGCAGTGCTTGCTCGTTTATGCACGCATTCTGAGTTTAATGTGCATTGTGTGGTGTTATCTGCGCTTGCACTGCACTTATGAGTGTTGTTATAGCAGGAAAAACGTAAACGATGCAAACGAATACGAATCAACTGCCACTGACATCAAAACAGCTGTCGAGTTGACAACGAAAGTTTTAGACTTAAATACTGACCTGGATTATTAAACAAAGGAATCGTTTATGTTCAATAGTAAGTTAAAAAAAACTTAATAAACATTTATTTAGTTAATTTGTTTAAAATTCAAGGAAATGTTTGGGTTTTCTTTGATATTATTAGTGATTACAGTGATAAATATAATAAAAATCAAGGTTTATGCTAGGCAACCAAAAATACACATCAAGCAAAGTTTTTCAAAATGCGCTACAGATTCAGCCACGGATTCAGCAGTATATTTGCACAATCGACACAGATAAGACGTAAATCCATCGCGTATATCTAAATATTTATTTAAAATAAACTTACTCTAAACTTAAACAACACACTCTCTTGCAACAAACATAATATCATATAGTACAAACATTTATAAATGTGATATAGTGTAATCTAACTCTATTTATTCGTCGAACAGCTTTCTGATTGGCACGAAAAGAAATGGCTACGTAAAAAAATAAAGCATACTAGGAATTTCGAACACAGTCTTATGTAAATGTACGGGTAAAGCGATTAAGATGCGTTAACAAGCAGCTCTACTTCATGCTCATGTGATGGCACAACCTTCCGTACCAGCCTGGCTCACAAATGCACGTGTGATCCACGCACGTGCCATGTTTACACGCCAGATCACAAACACTTCTGTGCGCCATTGCTCTGCCGATTTCGCAATGATCGCCACCGAAACCCTCGGGGCATTTACACTTGTTAACACCACGACACTTTCCGCCATTGTGGCAAGCAATAATACACTTCGAATATTCACAGTGTAAACCGTAGAAACCCTTGGGACATTCACAAGTGTCTTTCTGGACGCATTTACCGCCATTGAGACATTTTTCTCCACAAATCCCACCTTCGCAATGCCTACCTTGAAAGCCTGGTGGGCAACTACACACACCAGGTGAAGTACAGTTACCTCCATTGAGACACTGCGGATAACAAAGCGCTGTGCGACAATGCTGCCCCATATAACCCTCAGGACATTGACAAATCTTCTCGTGGTTACACCAACCACGATTGGCACAGGTCTTATCGCATTCTGGGTCGGGTCCGCGTTGGGAACACTCCTTCCTGAGGTTTAACCGAAGTGGAGTGCCATTTAACGGACGACCTTTCCTACTCTCAATCAATAATCCAATACTGAATGTAGCTATACCAGAACTGTTACCAATACAAGGTAAAAGTATACTGAATTCTTTAGGGCGACGTGGAACCCTCCCACGGGTCTTGATAGAAATAACCGGGGCTTCCAAAATGTCTTCATCGTACGACTGCAGCCGGTCAAAGTGATAATAATACTTTTTCAGCCCAGCTTTCCAGGTGAAATTCACGTAGCCCACTTCAGCGGGTATCACTGGCATCTGTTTATCAAAATTAGGGTCCAGGATGTACGGTAAGACATTTCCGTTGAAAATCGCATACACGTCCATTACTTTTCCTAGAAATGCAAAAATTATCTTAATTATATTATAATTACGCATTAAATTTCAAGTTTTCGACCTACCACTAAACATCCTGACCTGATTCTCATCGATCCAAAGCGCCAGATCGCCATTATTCCTCGCATCATTCTTGAGATCATTCCTGGCCAAAGCGATCCCCGCGATAATCAGCAGAAGATAAGACACGCACATTGTGTGAAGTGTGACTGAGACGAAGTCTTGATATAGAATGCGGTACCTCCTTCCGCGATCAGCACGCGGCAACGACTGCGATTTTCATTTTCGCCGCTCGCACTCTCCGCCCGAATAGCATCACCCGCATCCTAACCACGTAAAAGCAAGCAAATAAAAGCGTTAAAGCGCTTGCAACAAACCGCAAATCACACAAATCCAAACAAATTGATCGCTTTTCTAAATTTGCCCACGCTGACTGTGTGCGATTTACGCGTAAAACGCTTTTTACGACTGTTTATCTAATGCAACATGCGATGCGTGAAGGTCGAATGAAAGCGTCGACGTGCGCCCGCGCCAGCTACTGAAACCGAACTGAGCTATTCAGCAAAATTGACAAAGCGAGCTTTCAAAGCTGCGCGCAGCGCATGTGTGCAGTCGGGTTGCTTTTTCGAGTGAAGAAGCGTCGAACAGACACTCGACCCGACACCAACACCAATGACTTCTGAAAACGTGTACGCTATAGCCGAACGCGGAGAGACGAAGAAAACAAGATAAAACTGGTGGTAAGGTGGCAAGTTGCCACTGCACAACCGGTAGCTCGCTTTTGATGGCATCTTGTCGAGTTTGCACAACGTGCAAAGACTCCAAACGAGATCCAATCAAGAACTGCATTGTTAAGTCGTAGAAACTACTCAAAAACTTACCTAATACATAACGCACAGGTAGAGAAATATTTTCAAGATATATTAAACTATTAATTGTACTCAAAGATAATTCATCGTAAAAAGTGTTGAGAAAATCGTAAAATATTATTATTACAAAATATTGACTGCTATAAAAACATCAACATTTAATTAAATCATCAGTTTGGTAATAAAAGAGGTGTCCTACCTTCGTTTCTGATCTGGATATTGATGGCTTGTCTCACTCTCTATAGAAATGTGTTTGACTTTCTCAGCAGTCAAATGGTATGTTTCTATTCCTTAAAACTTTTTATAGTTGTATATATCACTAATAGCAAATATCCACTGCAATTTTTCTTTTCGTGTCTTGGCTATCATCTAGATAACACGTTGAGGACGGCGTGTACCACCGGTGGTACACGGCTCATTTGAAACGAGCGTCGTTCGGCTAACTCGCGGCTAAGTCGTGGTCGTCACTTGCCATCTCAGTTTGCACATAGTTTCGGTCGCACTCTAAAGATAAAGGCATTCATTACAAAGAAAATAAATAAATGGCGACGCAACTGCAAAAACAATCGCTTTTTGATACAGCAATGCATAACCACCAGTGGCGCACAGCAGAATTAATTAGACGGAGTTGAAAATGCTCAAACGCCGCCCGATGCGACAGACACCCAAAAACCGCGCCGTTCTCAACGTGTTAGGGTATAATTGTTGATATAGGTTAAGTTACATAAATTCAAGGCGTTTAATTTACAGTAAGAGTATTTTCATAAACATTTAATATAAAAGAATTGCCGGACTTGCTCAATTTCATTCTTCAACGGGTAAATCTCCTGAACTTCAATTTTCTCATTACAATTGTAGAAGAGAAGCCACTCGTTGAGCAAAACCACAAAGTACTTACGATTCCCATAGAAGAGCGCGAATATCATCGATTCTTTGCAATGAAGCAAACCGGATTAGAATGAATTTAACTCACTCACTAACGCATCTATCAAACGCGTAAAAATATGTATAAATATTAAACTTTTGTTTTCTTGTGGTAAAATAATTCTAAATTATTATTTTTATACGAACAATCATTTATTTTATTTTCATCCTGAACATTGCTTGCTGTCGAATAGAAAACTTTCTCTGAATGATGTTTGGCATCAGGGCAGACATTTAACCGGCATCATGGATTTCTTGCATATATTTGTTTAGTTATTCGTGTTTGTTATCTGTATTGCTTCACGCAATTGCTGATTAAGAGATTAAGAGATTTAACGTTTTTGTTTTTAAATCGACATTTGAAGAAGTTCGCAGGACATTTTTGTGTAAATAATCGTAGACTTCTATAATACACAATAAACAAATATTAGAGTTACAACTTTTATCAGTGTACTTGCAATTTATCAGTATCCGCATTCGTGATATTAGTTTTTGCATTCTGTGTGTTTTTCATGTCAAAAATGTCACCGCTGGTGATTACTGCAAATATCTAATATTTTGATGCATGAATAGTTAGGAATTACACATGCCATTGAATACCATACGTAAACTAAACATAAAAATCATTCTATTGCGGATTTAATCCCAAAAAACGATTAAATATTTTATTTTTTGGTTTGCAATAGTTGGAAAATATCTCCTTCTGCTTTTTTGCTCTTTATTCAATGCTTTATAAAAAGTGTTACAGTGATCGGATTTAGTTCAAATATGCGCCGTTTTGTTCGATAATCTGTTTCCATCTAGACGGCAACTTCATAATACCTCTCTCGTAGAAGCCCCCCTCCTTATTTGCGAAGAACTCGGACAGCCACTTTTCACAAGCCTCTTTTGAGTTCAACTTTACACAATCAAGGGCATTCGCCATGGACAGGAACAGGTGGTAATCACTTGGCGCTATGTCCGGGCTATATGATGGATGCAATAAAACCTCCCATTCGAGCTCCCGTAGCTTCTGACGAGTCATCAACGAAGTGTGTGGTCTGGCGTTGTCCTGGTGGAACACTACACCCTTCCTGTTGGCCAATTCTGGACGCTTCTGGTCGATTGCCTGCTTCAAGCGGTCCAGTTGTTCACAGTAGATGGTAGAATTAAGCGTCTGGCCATATGGGAGCAGCTCATAGTGGATGATTCCCTTCCAATCCCACCAAACACACAGCAAAACCTTCCTGGCCGTCAATCCCGGCTTGGTCACTATTTGGGACGATTCACCGGCCTTCAACCACGACCGTTTTCGCTTGATATTGTCGTATGTGATCCATTTTTCGTCGCCAGTCACCATCCGCTTCAAGAATGGGTCGAGTTCGTTCCGTTTCAGCAGCATATCGCAGGCGTTGATTCGGTCCAGAAGGTTTTTTTGCGTCAAATCATGCGGCACCCAAACCTCAAGCTTTTTTTTGTATCCAGCCGTCTCCAGATGGTTTAAAATGGTTTGGTGACTAACTTCCATCTCCTGGGCGATGTCACGAGATGCCACATGCCGGTCTAACTCGATGTATTCCATGATTTTATCGGTATTTGTCGTCACAGGTCTTCCGCCGGCTGGCTTATCCATGGTGTCGTTTTCACCGGCTCTGAATCGTCGAAACCATTCCTCCGTGGTTCGAAGTGAGAGAGCACCATCCCCCAAAACACCATTAATCTCACGGAACGTTTCTCTAGCGGATTTGCCTTTAACGAAGGAAAACTTTAAAATAGCGCGAATTTCGGCGT